CACTACTGATCAATATTTGTAGAACAATTTAAGCTGCTTTGGAGTGAATGTTAATAACATGACATAACAAAAAAGAATTTTACTTTTAACTTGAGATCCTTAAAAATGTTATTTTCTTTATATTGTTTCGCATAAACTGCTGGTTTATAATGATATATTGCATCTATAAACATTATATCTATCGAAAATAATTTAAAAATGATTCAAATCTACATTAACTAAAGTTTTTGACTGAAAAATTCTAAAAAAGCGATGTTTATAAAATTCGTTTGCTTAAAATATTGCAGTAATTTTTTCGCTTTTAAATTTTACTTTTCCGATCACTTTTAAATTTAAGCCATTTAATCGTATCCTAGAATTATGGCTTATTTATTTAGTCGTATCCTAGATTATGTGATTGACGAACTGTATTTGACTCATAAATGACTGACTATAAATAAATTTAAGCATTTATTTTTGATTGAAACATTTGTAAAATCGTTTGCTTGAATAAATAAATAAATGGAAACAAATATGTATACTTTTTATAAGGCGAATTACTTCATTACAATTAATAGTGAAGTTCAATTGAGCACATAAGTTAGACAAAATTAAAACAAGAATTTTTAAATTGAAAGCTGATTTTAATTTATGTCTTATAGAAAACTGAAAGGAACGACGAGTAAAATTTATAAATCGAACATTTTTGTTTGAATTCTACATACATTTTCATTTATTTATTAGTTATTTCTTCATGTCATTGACAAATTTGTATTAAATATTGTTTCAATTTTTATCATTTCAAATCGTATAGAAGATAAATAAATTCAACAGTTTAAAAGTTCACACACAACAGCCAAATGGGAAGAAAAATCGTTTGATTTTGGAATTAATTATGACTAAAAAGCCCTAAAAGCAAAATTGTAGTACCTCGTTCATTTTCGATCTTCAAAAATATAAACTTTAAAGTGAAGTGAGCTGAAGATACCACCCTGAATTTAATTCGAATGATTGAATTTCGACGCATACTGAAAATCAATCCTAATGGTTCAAAGGATTGACCTCAAATATTCTAATTAATTAGTCTTAACTACAGAGTCAGAATCTTGACCAGCAAAATGATAACCGAAAAAATTTTGAATTGGGAGGTATACAAATTTTTACATGATTTTAAATTATTTTTTTTTTATATAAAAAATTTAAAAGAAACCAGTCGAACGGTTTCTGTTCTGAGATATAAAATTTTGAAAAAAGGCGTATTTTTAAATTTTCATTTCTCAATATCTATTCGATTTCGTTGAAATTTTTTCATTTTTAAAATGGTGTAAAAATTTTGTATGCCTTTCAACTCGAAATTTCGGCTCTTATTATATAAAATAGTTAACAACTATTAATTTTGTCCTTTTTGGACTATTTTAGAGTAAACGTAATCCAAATCCCTATTAAGAGGTAAAAAAAAGCGTTTAAACCGAGAAAAAAGTACGTTTTTGTGATAGATTCCGTAACTTAATAGTTGGCAATTAATTTGTATTTTTAGGTTAATTTTTCGAACCATTAAAAATTTATTTTAGTCCGTGAAAATCTATCCGATCACAAGAATAAAAGTTATTCTGGGTGATATAGATTTTATTTATTTATTTTTTGCTCACTACATTATAACATTTGAACTATATAATTGAAACAACTTGAAAAACAAGATTTTAATAAGTCGTAGCAAATACAATAAGCGGAATTTTAAACGAGAGATATAGCATTTACAAATAGCATCACGCACGAATGCTGTGCATTAGCTCAAGTGAAAACTGAGATTGTTCTATAGCAACTGCATTCATAAGCACTTCAATGTGGGGTTGCTATGTGAAAATGCTAAATCATTCTAATATCTAAAATATTTTTTTAAAAAAATAATAATAAAGCAATCGCGTTACAAAACAACATTTTCACGATTACGAGAAAAATCGCAAATTTGAAATTTATTTATTTTGCACATTTAATATAATAAAATATTAGGCGATTATAAACAAAACTTTGATTGCTTAGTATACGATTAGTACAAGATAATATTCTAAAAATTTATTCCGTAGTCAGAATTAAAACATTTTTACAATTAAATACAAATAATTTTTACGAAGTTTTTCAAAATTTACACTTACCTGGTTGTAAGATTTTGTAAATTTTTAAATTCATTGAAGAGCAATGCGAAATCAAACAAGATTTTTATTTACTCACGTGTTGGTTATTTAAAATACAGAGTGAAGTTCAATTAATTAATGTAAAATATTCTAATCTATAAAAATATAGCTTAAAACACGGCTCTACATTAAATTTAACAACTACTTGAACATTTTGTATTGCTAAATTTGCGATAATTATAATTTTTTTTTGTTGTGTTAAGTGGAAGAGGTCACTGCAGATCATAAGCGCTTAAAATACTTGAAACAAGACGAATTTCTTATAGTCTGGTGTAATATAGTCAAGAAGCGTTGAAGCCTACATGACTGAGGGGCATTGTCCTTACGCCAAACGCTTAGAAGCGTTGAGGTAGTGGGTTCGAATTTCACAGAAAACCTGGATGTATCTTGATGCTGTTTTTTCCTTTCTTCAACTTAACGAAGATTTATACGTTCTTTGAATTGAGCACACATATCTGCTTATTTTTTAAAATGTACGGTTCTTGGTTTCTTTCACATCTGAATGACTATTAGCATCGACTTTTCTTTAACATTGATCGTTGTTGTTGTTCATTTACGTCGCACTAGAGCTGCACAATGGGCTATTGGCGACGGTCTGGGAAACATCCCTGATGATGAGCTTCTCACGAATCCNCACAATTTATATCCTCTGCAGAGGGGATGGCACCCGCTTCGGTAGCCCAACGACCTGCACGCGAAGTCGAGCACTTTACGATAGCACAGTTTAAAGAGGACCAATACCGCACACTTTCGGTCCCTACGCAGACTGATCCAAGAGGTCACCCACCCGCACACTGACCGCAGCCAGTGATGCTTGACTTCGGTGATCTGCTGGAAACCGTGTCTTAACGATCAGTCCACTGCGGGACTTAACATTGATCGAAATGGGCTACAGGAACTCTCTACCTATGGTAACACTTCGCATGCTTTCACCATGAGAGTGTGGAGAGTCATGGGAGAATGAAGAACGTTAGTTTTCTATCTTGATTTTCAAATAGATTATAAACTTTTAAGTTAGGAAACTATATAAAACTGAAAACTACATAATATATTGAATGTAGTTCTAACAGAAAGAGTCGGGGAAATTAAAAAAAAATATTTTTGACAATTAAATACGAAAAATATTAAGAAATGAAAAAATTATCGAATAAAATTATGGAATATCGTAGTGCATTCCAATACAACTGAGAAGAGGGAAAGAAAAATATCCGAAGATTTTTAGAAGATTAAAGAAATAGGAATTTTAAAATTAACATATTAAAATCTTAATCTGAATATATGGTTTGACATTTTCTTGTTTAATATTCTACTGACACTTTTTTTTAAAAATTGTTTTCATTTTAACAATAAAAAATGAGCGTTGTTCAGTTTTTTTTTCTTATTTTCATTCCACATTAAAGTTAGGACAGAAAGCATTCTGCTACAAAGTGAAATAACATCAACTGAAGGATTCAATATGGCATTTTTTTTTCTGTTCTCAGTTTGACTGTCATATTATGTCGCGTCGTGTTTTGCTTTTTTTTGTACACCAAAGCAAGTTATATTGGGTAAAGTAGTAGCCATATATATAGCTCAAATCAATCATTAGCTATCCATTACAATAAAAAAAGGCAGACATCCAGACAATTAGCTCTGTTGAACACCCATTAACATCTGAAATCTAACAATGTCAAGAATTCCTGAGAATACTCGTTTTAATCAGTAAACAAATTGTTCTCCAGTGGGTGCCTAGTCACTGTGGAGGGGGCAGATGAACAAGCGGACTTTTTGTTTTATTGGAAGATTAAAATGTTTGCAAAAAGAACCATAGATTTATCTCTAATGGTTAACGAGACCTCTAGACTCAAGACTATCATAAAAAGCAGAGGATGTCTTCCCGATACAACCAAAACACAATGCAATTGCGTTTTTTTTTGTCTGTTTACAGGACACAATCGCCTAGCTGCTCAAATATTCCGCATTGGCGTTTCAACCGATTCTACTTTTTCACTTATCTTTTTTTACTCTGGAGAAGTAATGGACAAGGTTCATCCGCTCCGGTCTGTGAACCGCTAAGTTGTAAGGCAGTCGTGGATCTACAGAGAAATCTAGGTACTGGGAGCAAGATCACACATTAGGCAATGACCTCAGCCTTCTTGTTCTTGGTTATACTGTTTGAGTCTGTAATTTTTTAAACTTTTTGTCTAGCCATTAGAAATAGTATGAAAAAGATTTTTTCTTTTGTTTAGCATGAGTTCTCAAAAAATGGCTATTTATGATTGGCAGTCTCAATGTTATTTTGCTTAAATTTAAATAAATCATTCCAAGTTTATTAATGTCCCGCAGTGGACTGATCATTAAGACACAGTTCTCAGCAGATCACCGAAGTCAAGCATCACTGGCTGTGGTCAGTCTGTGTAGGGGCCCCGAGGATGTGCGGTATTGGTCCTCGTTAAACTGTTCTACTGTAAAGTGCTCGACTTCGTGTGCAGGTCGTTGGACTAGTGGGGTTGTCATCCCCTCTGCAGAAGATCGAAATTGTGATGGCATGTCTTTGGATCATCCTTAGGGATGTTTCCCAGACTGTCGCCAATAGCCCACTGTGCAGTTCTAGTGCGACGTAAATGATCTACAACAAGTTTATTAATCTTGGAGAAAGTGCAACGGTTTCGTTCCTAGCTGTTTGGATTACTGTACTTAATCCCTTGAAATAATTAAGTACAGACAGCTGATTCAGTGATTTTGTTTATGGACATTTGACAGAAATTTTTTCAAGCATCAAAAGAAAATATTAGCTATTATCACAGACAATCATAGAATGAAATATGTGAAATGAGTGAAAAAACTGTAAAAATTTATGAAAATTTTTATTACAAGACATTTTAAGAACTATGTACACTTTTTTATATACACAATGCAAAATGGCTTAAGTAGCACCAATATGGACAAATATTCTCAAACAGACGCACTGCGCCAGATTTGGACAGAAATGTTTGGCGTTTGCAAAAAGTTGGTCGCAGAGCTCTGACTAATAATTTAATGTAGTAAATGCACAGGGTAAAGTAAATTACAAGATCAATCTAACATATAAATCTGAAATTTCTATTTTTTTTATGAACAAGAGATTGCCTTTAATCATTCAATGTGGGTATCTTTTTTTTTATACAGTAATATTTTTCTAAGGTTTTTAAGAAAGTTTTGTTTTAAAAATTATAGAAATGGCTTATAAATAAATTTAGTTACAAAAGAACAATATGCAGGAAGATATATTCAAATATGGTATAAAATATTATAACTAGCATATACAAGGTCTAGTTAGAGAGTTTCAAGTTGAAAATGCACAATCTAATTAGCTAAATTTGAAAAAAAAAATTTTTTTTTCTTCTTAATATTTCACTTTATATAAACTGGTTTACATTTTTACAACAATATTTTAAAGTTATATTTATTTTCATATTTGAAACAGCATAGAAACTCTGGAAATTGTAGGCACTTAAATACAACAGTTAAGACAAATAAAAATATTTTTAATATTGACAGAAACACTTTATTTTGCTGTAACTAAGTTCAAACTTTGTAACTAAGTTCAATTAGAACTAAACAAAAATAAGCAATACACTTACTACAAAATAATGAATTACATTAAAGAATGATTAATTTGACTAAAAAACTTATTATTTTTCAAAGAAATTGTTCAGTAATCCACTCGAGTTCAGGGTTTTTAACCATTGAATCACATAAAAAGATTTAGAAGGTTTCAAGTTTCGTCTAGAAATGTAGCATAATGTGATGATCTTAATAAATAACTGCGATAAAGAAAATTTAACTTAAGTGGGAAATTCAGTATAAAAATGAAGATCAGTATAAGCAGTATAAGATGTATCTTAAAAAGTACACCAAACAGATTTAGATATACAGGTACAGTATTATAACTTAAGTTATTAAATTTGTTTACTGTATTAAATGTTTACAACAGTTAAAAATAAAAACATTCAAAATGTTAAGGGTTACAATAAATTGTCCATCTTTTAAACACCATAGTTTTCAATATATATTTTTTGTGTTTTATTATAAAAAAAATTTTCTACTCTAATAAGTAAAAATATAGTGTAGTTATTACAATTTATTGGTTAAACATAAACAAATCTAAAAGAATACCCAGCTAACTTAATTGTTTGATTAATAAGCAAAATACAATACTTAGTGCTATTTTCAGGGATGAGATTGGCCAAATGTCAAAAAAGCTGAATTTTCATGCGAGTAAATCTTACGTGATTTATAGCAAAAATATCAGTAGCATATTCTCATCCAGTTTCGCTGATGTTGTAATGCTTATATATAGCAATAATCGTCAATAGAAAAACTGCCACATTTATTATTTTAAAACGTTTCGTTCAATAAAAATTTAAATATAATCTCGGTTATAACTTTTAACAACCCGAATTAGGCACAGAAATAAGATACATTATCCTAATGCAACTTGTGAACGAAGTATTAATTTATAGGAAAATTTGTAAGCAAGAGAAATTTTAATTAATTAAACACTATTGTCAGGGCATTTGAATTTATGTAGTTTCTTTAACCTGTTTAATTCAAAGAGTCTATGTTTTTCATGTAAAATAATGTGAATTCATTTATTTTATTCACATTGATCTCTTAAAACAGACTAATAAACATAAATAATCTGAACTACTAATGAAGTGGTCCTTGGAGTCAATAGTTAAAGAATACCAGAACTGAGTAAAAGCAATATTTTTTAACAAACTAGCAAGTATATTATGATTTTAATTAAATCACAAAGTAACAAAGCATTTTTACTTTAGTGCAAAACTTTAGCAGTATACAAGATTTCAGAAAATTGAAATAACAAGACTCATGACACATTTTAACAACACCCACAACGCCAGTTAGCAAAATAAAGTTATTGTAAGCTTAAAAACTGGTGCAAATTTTAACACGTGTTGTCAGTAACATTCTGTTGGACACAAAATGGAATGTTGGAAAAAGATTTTAGCACATAGAAACAGTACATGTTTTTAACTGCATGCAAAATAATAATTAGGACATGCTCATAATAAGTTGAACTTCAAAAATAACACTTATTATATTGGATTAAGAACTGGAAAAATATATGAAAATCAGATAATAAACATGAGTGATTATACGAAATCATCCAAAAGGTAAAATTAAAAGTGTGAAATGAAATTTAGTTTTAAATATGAAAGGGAGAAAAAATTAGCATTTTTGGCACAAAAAAGCAGCAGTTATAAAAAAGATAAATTTTTTCAAAATAAGCTGCCATTTACAGATATCACATTTATATAGTTCTGCTCTTCTCATTTACAATGATTGATTTAAATACAAAAACCTTAAAAAAGAATGTATAGATACAATTAAGTATTCATAAAAAAAGGAATAAATCACTTACAAATGCTATCAAAATTATTACAAAAGTAAAATGTTAAAAAAATTAAAAATAAACGTACAAACGAGATATGTAAAAATATAGCTTTGTACTAACTTTGAAAAATTATGATACCACTCAGGCAGTAAGTGAAATGAAGTACAAAGATGTAACAATTGAATTTTCTACAATTTATTTCATTTGTTATAGCAAAAGTGTTCAACTAAATTTCTTGTAAATAGCATTAATATTTGAGGCAAAAACTAACCTTTATTTATTCCAGACTTTTCTTTTAGTTAGTTTCAAAATTGACTTTCTCATTAATTTTCAAACAGAGTATTATTTTTCATTATTGTGAGATTCAATTAGTTCAATTTTGATAGCAAGATGCATGCATGAAAATGGTATGTACAATGTTTTAACAAAAAAGAAAGAAAAAACAAAATTTTTTTTCTTCTTAAAGCAGAAACTTTTTTCATCACATGAATGTGTTCAAACAACTTAAATTTTGAAAGGAAAAAGTGTCATATATAAAAAAACATACACATGAAACAATAATGAAGAAAAAAAAAAGATGCATAAATAATGAACATAGAAGAGGTCAGTAATAACAGATATGAAAGACAAGGAAAAAAAGCTGCATTAAGGGAAAAGCAATTTAATTATAAGTTTTTAAGCATATCACAAAGTTTAAAACAAAAATCTATTTTTTTATTTTGAAATAAATATCTTGTAAATTAGAATGAAAATTATCACCATTTAAGTGCATTAATATGGAACAAAAATAATATAAAATACAGTTTCATTAAAAATTACATCTAGCTGAGTAATTTCTCCAAATTAACAAGAATTTGAAAATCACATTAACAAATTTTTTTTTCAATTTAAAACAATACTATTTTAATTTTTTTCATAAGTAAAATAGTTTGCTTCAATTTTTTAAAGCTTCATTTACTTTAAAAAACAATGATCATGACTTCTATTTATTCTATCTTATTTTCTATGCTTATTTTATGTAATTTAAGATTTCATTTGATTATAAAATGAATACACCTCACTAATTTCAATGAAAACAAAAATGAAAATTTTGATTTAAAATCAGGAACCATTTAGAGAAAAACAAAAACTATTTTACAAATCAGTTATAAATGAGTAGAGCAAAACTTTTCATTCAAAATTTGAGGTTGTTTAGAATCAATATGCTCATAGTCCACATCACTGTCATCAATTCCGCAGATAGCTCCAGAAATATCTGAGAAAGAGGCATTCGTTGATGTGTAACCACCAACTGACATGGACAAGTTATCAAGCCCGTCCCTGAGAAATCCACGTCCACCTTGTGATGGAAAACCATACGTCATAACTTCATCATCGGAGAGATCACAAATTTGGCGCTGATCACCGTTCCACGTATGATCAGGGCTAGTGTTCGCAGTACTTGTGGCATGAGTGGGGAGGTATGAGTTGGGATGACGCTGATATTTGTGGGGGGAAACTGGAAGACTGTCCACCTCATCAGCAAATTCAAGTTCGTTCATTCCAAGGATGCTTTCGAAGTTTGGCACAGGAAGAAGAGCATCATCGAAATCATCGTTATTTTCTGAGTCACCCACGTACTCAGACTGATCAAAATCTTCACTTCCAGATTGGTTGTTATGTTGTTTCAAATCATTTAAGTTACCTACATCACTTTCTTTGGGTAACAGCTCGATTTGGCTAGCCCTGCTGTTGGATTCAGTACTTGGAATACTGGATGAGTCCCGTATTTCTTTGGTGGATACTTCAATAATATTAGCTAATGGTTTTTGAGATGCAACTGCCCAATCTGAACAATCCCATATGTAACCTATAAAATTTAAAAGAAAAAAAAAGTTTATAAGCTGTGTGTAATAAATAATCGTAAGTACGTAAGCTTTAAACTGCTGACAGATCTAGGGAAATGTTTTCTTTAGTAGAATTTCTTTTCTCTAGAAGAACAGGTTTTCTGCACAAGAAAGCAATCAGTAACTTTTATCTTAACTAAATTAAGTGTCAACAGTGAGAAGGTAATTAGATTATAGAAAATAAAGGTGTATAATTTAAAAACCATACAAATTAAATTTTTTCAGAATCTGTTTTTTAAATTTGCAAGTCCTATAGTTACTTTATAAACTTTTTGATGGATTCTGATCAAAAAAGGACATTTCATATATCTGTTACTTCTAAGTAAAGCTAGTCTTTTTATTCTGATAAATAATTTCTTTCTATAATCTCTCTCTCTACATATTTAACGAAGCAATTTCTATATAGCCAGAGCAACTTTGGGGCCAGTGAGCAACAGTGAACATGGAATATACCTTCTAGAGTAATAAATATTTTTTAAACTAACGAATTTTTTTAAAAGAAAAATAATAGTAAAAATATTAAGCTTGAATTAATTTTATTCTCATTGTAACTGCGAATAGTTAATTTTAACAATGTCATTGAATATGTGCTTTTTTAACAAGATGTAATTAAGTAGTACAAGTTATGTTTGAAAATAATTATACAAAAAGGCTTAACAAAAATATTAATAATTAGTTACATAAAAAACTTTGATTATTAAACTTTTATTATCAATATTACTCACTAAGAATTTATATTTAAAAGGTTAAAAAAAATAGTTAAAATACACAGACTTTGTATATTTGTGGTAGCAGGTATATTTGTGTACTTTCATCTTTTTCAAAAAGAAAAAAAAATTAATGCTGGAAATACTTTTTTTTGTTGTAATACATTTCTAAGATGCATTATTTTAAATACAAATGTATGTTAGCATACGTAAACAAACTTCGAAAATCTTCTACTTATAAAATTTATTTTAAATAATGCACTTTTTCCCCCCAAGAATTATTTATTTTTTCTGTTGGACATTTAATCTATCTCTATTTAATATAATACATCTCAATTTCGAAATATACATGGTTGACCATTGGTTTGCATTAAAACAAGCTCAATCCCCATTTCTTCAATTAATCAATTCCAGTCTGAGTTCATTTAAATAATAATCATATTAATTTAAGTGTCACAATAACAAATTATTTTTTTTATTTCTTCTGAAATTTTCTTAAAATGGTTTTACAATTGAACGCCTTAATTAATCATTTTGCACAAAATGATATTTTATGTGATAATGCAATGGGATAATCATGCTTTTGCATGATAAAACTAAAGTTCTTGATTATTCTAAAAAATGCAAACATAATAGAATTTTTATTTTATATCATAACAAACGAATACCATATTCTATTCTACGTGCGGGTAAGAAAAGTATATATAGTAATGCATTTAAAAGTAACATGCACAATAAACATTTAATATTTAGATATATACAGACAAATGTCTATTTTAAAACATGCATTCACGTATATAAAAAAAGTGAAAGACACAGTTGGGAGGGGGGAAGAAAGCATGTTGTAAGTGAATGAAAAAAACAATTAGTATTTTATCCAAAAAGCTATATCTTCAGTATTCATACAAGATTTCTCAACTACAGAGTTCCTTGAATTTTTTCCCAAATAATCTTATAAACTCTGTCTTTAAAAATAAGAAATTTTTTTTCTTCAAAAGTTAGAATAATTATACTAGTACTACTAATAAAAACTGCAATGCATATTATTAACAATTTGTACATAATTATAGCAAAATTTTTGATAAATTTAAGGAATAAGAATTTTGAAAGATAATTTCTCATAACAATGAAGACAAAGTTTCCTAATTTGGGTTGACCAATAATTTGTTAAGAAAAGTGATTGAAATGTGCGGTTTGCAGCATTCTGCTTAGATCACTAGGAAGGGATTCTTACCAACTTTCAAAGTTAATTACAATATTTGCCAATAGATGGCAATGCTTAAAGAGAAAAACTATGAATCAATGCTTTATTTACTTATTTTTTTAAAAGAAACTACATTTCTCAGTAACTACAACAACCTGTAACAATTTGAAAAATTAATAGACATTTATGCAAATATTTCATTAATGGTCTTATGATATGGAATGGTCTTCTTATGTGTTGCAGAAACTAAATTTTATTTTTTTTAAAGTCAGAAGTGCCATCAATTGATTATTTCAAATTTCCTTTTTTTTTCTTCTTTAGTTTAGAAATCATTCCTCATTTTTGGGACTCAACTAGTTTGAAATTCATAACTTACTGTAGAGTAGTTTAAAGCTAATCACAATTCTTTACATAAAAAAAAGGTTCATGAATGATTTACTTTGAATAAAATACAAACATAATTTTTTTACTCATCATTCACATTTCACATTTCACTCATCATTCACATCTGCTTTCTCTTTAATTTATTTAAAAATCAGATAATTAAAATAACCATATTATATCAATACCAAATACATCTTACATATTAATAGGCAATGAATTAGTAAAAAACTATTTCTTAAGATATATACAGTATAAATGAAAGCTATTAATAGTTCCAAGCGGTTAGCTTTAGCAAACTCCATGAACATTATAACATGGATTAGCTAAGCGTGAAGCATTACATACCCTTGAAAAAATCTGTTTTTGAATAAATCGTTGGAGTTAAAAAAAAACCACACATTTATTCCAAGGAGAAAAAAAATTCCATGCAGCAGGCAGTGGGTGAAGAACATGCACTTAATGCAAAAAGTAGGAAAAAAAATGAACAAAAAAAGAAAACTTAAAGTACCTTCCGCAGTGTTTCTTCTCCCACTTTTGTTCTCGGTCGCTGTGTGAGAATGAATATTTGTAATCAAGTAACCAAGATAATAGTTTTGTTTTTAACTAATTGTTGAAATCAAAGATATACAAATTAAAAAAATAAGACAAATAAAACAGCAAAAAATTCCTACAGCTACAAAAAGCCAAAGACTTTTAAAATACTAAACTCTTCTTCAAAGTAAACACAATATCAAAAATCAGCATGCTTTTACCTAGAGAAAAAAATTGAAGTTCTTACACTAGTGATATTGTTCATTCACTTCAACTGTATTCCAAAAAAGAAAGAAAAAACATAAGATAGAAGCAGATGAACTAATAATAAAAAAAAGGCAAATTACAAACCAAACTGCTTTTAATACAACTCCAATGAAATAATACTACTACTAAGGCATTCTAACACTTTGCTTCCTATTTTTAATGGTAGAAATAGTAATTTAGGAAGATTTGTGAGTGATGAAGTAATCACTTTTTTTTAATCACCAAACTGCTTTAAATACAACTCCAATGAAATAATACTAATAAGGCATTCTAACACTTTGCTTCCTATTTTTAATGGTAGAAATAGAAATTTAGGAAGATTTGTGAGTGATGAAGTAATCACTTTTATTAGATTAGATGGCAATGGGCTGGGTCAAAAAAAGATCATAATTGCACAGAAAAAAGGATACGGCTCATAAACAAAAAGTGGATGGTCTAATTAAGACTTATGAAAAGGTTACAATCTAATAGGACCTGTAATTGTGATTGGCAAGTTCACTACCAAACTAGCCCATCACTGAGATAAGACACTTTGATAAAATTGAGTAAATGCTACTTTGTTCTTAAATAGGACAGATATTAAAAGTAACACAATAGGAAAAGTTATGAAAATTGTTTATTATGATATTTCCTTATGCTTACAATAATATTTTGGAATTGGCATGTTAACACTTGGCATCAAAGTTATTGCCATTTAATTTAGTTGTATAAAGTTTCTTAGTTGAGTAAATGCTAGCTTGTTTTTAAATAAGACAGGTAATATTAAATGCGATACAATGGAAAAAATTATGAAAATTGTTTATTATAATTAGTATTTGTTAAGGCCTAGAATAATATTTTGCAAATGAAAAGTATGTTGACTCCTTGAGTTTTGATTTTGAAGTTTTTGCCATTTAATTTGGTTGCTTCCATGTTATGCAAAATTATTTTTTCTGCATTAATCAATTGAGAAGAAGGGGTATAAGAATTTTTTTTTGTTAAACACATTTGCTCAAATGTTCAACGTTTGGAGGATTATTATACATAATTATTAAAAATAAAAAATATTTCTGCTACAGTTTATCAAGCAGCTTTTACAATTTAAAAGTTACAGCAAACCTAAATCTACTTTGTTTGGCTTACTAAATGTAAGCTAACTAGTTCTGAATAAAGAAATCTAGAGACTCATCAGTTTTTAAAATTCTTCAGTGTAATGCTTATATGATAAGTTCAAAATTTCAGTAAATTTAATCTTCCAAGCATTAGTCCTACTGCTCAAACTTTAAGCTGATGTTCAACATTGTAAAAAAAAAATTCTTCCGCTATTTTTGAACGATTGCACATCCCAGGAAAGATTCTACACAATTATGCCCAGGGGTAGGAGTTTTAAAGGAGAAAGAAAAAAAAAAGTGGTTAATCAAATATCTTGTGTTTCAACTGTAGATATGACATTTCAATCTTAAAAACACATTTCAAAATAAACAAGGATATAGTTAATTACAGACACAAAAATATAATTCTGCAGTTGCACTATATTTTTAACACCATGTTATTTGTTTCAGTAAGAATAGAAATTTATAGTCTAAAAGAAATGAAACTATCAGTATAAAAATACGATTTTGTTATTCTTTAACTTATTTTTTAAAACAAAGTTATTGCAAAAATTCTTAACTATAATAAATATGTTTAGAAAAGTATTTCTCTATATTAAAACTAAAATTTTGAACTGAATTAAAAAAAAACAAAAAATAATGAGTTATATTCACTACCTGGCATGTCATCAACAGAGTTGAGGCTTAAAACCGAAGGCACACCAAGGCTGGACGGACCACGAGATGGCACAACTGGAGCAGGTATTGTATTCAGACCAGGAACATCACCAACTTTACGCATTTGCAGGTCTGCAAATGGAAATATTTATGGTGAATGCAATCTAAGTTTCATTGAATAACTTTGAAGAAGTTTCAAGTTTTTAAAAAGTTAACAAGATTGATGTGATATATAGTGACGATTGAAAGGAAATGATGAGAAGAGAAAAACCATACATATTAAACAAATAAAATATTAGCTTCTTTGTTGGAGGAAAAAATCAAGGGAGCAATAACGCAAATATTATAAAAATTAATATATAGCTAAAACTAAACATTATAACAATAATAGATATGCTAAGATGCTTTTTACAACTTCCTTGAATTTCTACTTTAACATTAACCCTTCAAATTTTATAACTCTGGGTAAAATTATACTGAAATAAACCTCCCATACTCGATTTTCCCATTAAATAACATAGGGATCACCAGTTTTTTTTTCATGGTTGTTGATAACCAGCAGAAAAAGTAACTCAGGTTCATGGTATCAAAAAATTGCTTGCATTGAAATTTTCTATTTGAAGAACAAGGAGAAAAACAGTTTATGTCTATAAATGCTAATTCTAAAAAAAAAAAAAAAAANAAAAAAAAAAAAAAAAAAAAAAAAAAAAAAAAAAAAAAAAAAAAAAAATGACAGACAGGAATCTCCTGCAACCAATCTTCACTGTGTAATGATTCTGGGTAATAAAAGACATTCCATGCCAATGACTTGTCAAAATTTAGATATCCTCAAAATTCACCAGATGTCATTTTGTGAGAAACAGAAATAAACCGTCCCTCCCCCTTAATCTTCATTTCTATGTCAAATTTAAAATTATTAAAATATAACAATGTTACAATAATATAAGAATTCCTAAGTCATGAACAGCCAAATTATCTTAGTGTCTCACAAAACATTTGGAATACTGATTTGGTTTTGATTTCATATTTACTACATGAAATCAAATACTTCATTATATAGAGAAAAAAAACAAGCAAAATATTTATAAGTTTTACCTTTTGGTACTTTATTTTCATACAGCTTGCTCTTTGATTTCAAATGATCTTTATCCCAATTCCCTTTTTTCACTGAATCGTTGTCTGAACTGGACGGAGGTGGTGGCACCAAAGCAGGAATCACACCAGTAATAGAGGGTTTGCTTATATTTTGTACATAGTCATTACTTTGGCGGGGAAAGTTTTCTAAGTCATCAGCAGCGCTACCATAACTACGGACCGTATCGAAGTTATTGAGGGCATTGACAGAATCTTGAGTACTGGGGGTGTAGGAAGCAGGTCTTGGAGGTAATGGAGGAGTAGTGAAACTAGTCGTGACTTCTAAATTACTTATTTTACGATTTAAATTGTCTTTTTCAAATACAGAATTTTTTAATAGATACTCATTAGTTGCAGTATCTAGTACTTCATTATTTGGTCTCAATTGTTGGCGTTTATGTCTATAACGCCAACAGCATACCAAGATCATTGCTAATAGAAGAATAAAAAATACTACAACAGATATACCAATGATTTCTTCAATAGTAGTATTCCAGCTAGAAGACGTAATTGAAGTTGTAAATAAATGCTCATTACACAAGGAACCAGTCATATTTGGCGGGCAGTGGCATTTAAAGCTACCCTGAAGATTTATGCAAGCACCGCTGGCACAAGGAACTGTTTGGCACTCATCTATGTCATACTGACAAAGCTCTCCATAATATCCATTGCATTTACAAATAGGGCCAAAAGTACCCTCCTCACAAATTCCTCTATTATGACATGGGCTTGGTTTGCAATAGCGACCAAATTCACAACGTTCACCGCTGATTCCAGAAGGGCATGTGCAAGTATATTTGTTGTCATGTTTGCGACATATTCCGCCATTTAAACAGGGATTTGACGCACAAGGGTCTAAATCTACTTCACAGTAATTTCCTTGATAACGAGCAGAGCATTGGCACATAAATGCAGAACTTGTAGGAATACAGGTACCACCATTTAGACAAGGTTGGCTGCTACAAACTCCTAAATCTAAAAGGACACCACAGTGGAGATCTATTTTTTTAACCCTGAAACCAAAAAAAATAACTTTAATTTGTGGATATTTGAAGAGAATTTTTGCAATTGATAAATATTTTGCATAGTTTTTTTTAAATCAAATTTAGCATTGAAAACTTTTAGATAAATCTACATTATAGCAAAATTGAAGGTCGAAACAGTCAGCAGGGTTACTAAATATACGAAAAATAAAAACTTGTCTGTTCGACGCCACTTGAACCCCATATTTTTCTCTTTTTTTTGTCAAAGATGCACACCAATTGCATTTTATCATTTTGTTTTATTAAGTATGGAATTAAGATTATTTTTTAATCTTTCGAAAATTACTTTATTTCACTCCATGTTTCTTAAAATTTTTCTTCATTTTAGAAATGAACCATATTACCATATTTCAAGAAATGTTTAAAAAGAAATAGCTTACATTATCAATATTAATAAATTTTTTGATGGTTTAAATTTTTTTAAAAAGAAGCAACATGTTTTGAAAAAGTAACCACTGTAAAAATTTAAAATTCCAAGAGCTCAGTGTGATATGCGAGTTTGGTTTTAAACATAATGCACTAGCATGATAATTACACAAATAATGTAAGCTAAAATATTCATATTGCACAATTACAATAATCTGCAATATAATGACTTAGGATATGTTCAGCTTCAGAATCTGTACACATTACTCTGATGAATTAAATTTTGTTATAAAGTTATCAGTAATTTCTAAACAAAATAAATTATAAGTAAATTCTTCTTGTTTAGAAATTATAGATGAATCGCACATCAAATTTGTTGAAATATGATTTTTTTCTCGTCTACATCGTTTACTCAACTTAGACTTGCTATTTGTTTATGTATTTTATTGTAACTGTGAAATATTTCATTTTGTGTACCTGTTTTTGTGTTAAGAATTTTATAGTGCAAGCATTGAAATCTTTGTGAAAGAATATAGAATATGTCACTTTAAAGAGCTGGTACTCGATGGGTTTGGCTTCCTTGAAATAGAACAGTTGTTAACTTAAACAAATGTCACATTTTAACAACCAATCAGGATACAGGCACCCCATTAAAATCCTTAAAAACACAAAAAAAAGTATGCAAACCTGTTTAATGTCGCAACAGCTGTGTTGCCATTGACATGCAAAGGCAACACTATGCCATCAATTTGAATGTCATCCATGCAGCCATTAAATCCCATCCTGATATCTTCAAAGTTAAGTCCTTCTAACTTGGTTCTAACTTCAGCTCCAAAATAAACATCATTTCCATCTAAATTGAGCACTTCATGAGATCCATGAGATTTACCAGAAGCTCGCAGTCTTTTATCTAAAATAAGCTCGGCAGTTTTTCCTCTACGTTCAACCCTCACTTTGTGCCAATTTCCATCATTTACTTTGAACTGATCAATACGAAGCTTTCCTTCCCCACTTCCACAGTCGAATCTGTACTGTATCAAGCCATTTTTTATCTGTAAAGAAAAGTTTATAAGATATATTTATTAAAATAGAAAAAAACTAACAAGATATTATTTCTCAGATGATTTATGACAAATATTTTTACTCTTATTATAATTGTTTTAAGGATTAAATATTAATTATCAGTATCTACAGATAACAAAAAATAATCAAAAACGTCACAGTATTTATCCTATAAGGGCACCGGCTCTCACAGCTTTTGTTGTGATGAAATTTGGGGGCAAAGTTTACATATCCCTTTCTTTCTTCCTCCTTATGTCTATCTTCATTCTCTTAACCGTGTTGCAAAATAAATAAAACATGCAAATATTTTTTCTATTTTTGATATTTAAATATTAGTAACATATTTTTTATGATTATCTATAAGGGCAGTTTGTTCATATTGTCTTCCCTCTATTATCTTTACATTCAAGCATTTCTTTTTTTCTTATTGATTGAAAAATCTATGGGCAGTTTGTGTACGTTGGTTTGGAACGAACAGAAAAAGATGTATATGAACTCCAAAGAGGAAAAGTGATCATTTATAAAGATCGCATAAACTCTAAATCATAAATTTTTTGTGTTATTTACGTTATTGTTAATTGTACATATTTATGTATTCTTTTCAATATATGTTTTTGTTAAAGAACAGTGTCTTTTATTCAAGACGACCACTCATGCCGTCCCTACATATACATACACACACATAGAAATATAGTAGAACATTTAGAGGAGGCAGTCAAGGGAGCATTGTTTTTCTGAGTGCAGAAAGCAGGAGAGGATATTTTGCAGATATTAGCAATTTTATAACAAACAAGAATTTTCGTCTTTCGCTTGTTATAAAATTGCTAATATCCTCTCCCGTTTTGGCTTTTAAGTCATTTTCAAGCCCGTTATCAAAATCAAATTTAAGTCTCTTAATGATCCCATTGGCTTTCATAATCGCTGGGTCCATTTACCACATTCTTTGTCTGTGCGACCTTGGCAACATCGGGAAAACTAAACATGTTTTAAAATTTAAACTTAAGGAGCACGATAGATACGTCCATTATCATGAATTCGAAAAATCTTCTATTGCTTCATACTGTTGGAATCTTGGGTATAAAATCAATTTCAACAATTCTAAAATTATTTCAAGCCCAGTTACATCCGCTCATCTTGATGCCCTGGAATCTTGTTTTATTCATTTGAATGCTGATTTCCTTGCTAAAAACATTAGTTCCACTCTCCTCTTCGTAACACATGGAAATGCATTTTACCTTTATTTGCCTCTTGGAAACAGTGATTTTTCTTGTCCTGTTTTAAATTTTTTTCTTCTCTCGGCTTATGCGGTTTTTACAGTTTCGCTCTTCACTTTTGCCATTTTTCGTTGGCAACTTTAAAGTATTTATTTCAAATCATTTTTGTTTCCTTACATTCATGCCTGGCATGTCTTGAAAATGGGCACCTGTGATGTAACTACCACTACGATTATCAAACCTCAATTCACTAGTATATACGATTCTAACTCGGATTCAATATCGAGGTACCTTTGGATAGATGAAGGTTGGCATAGTGGATAACACACTCCCCACATTGGTGATTTGGATGAGATTATTTAATTGCTTACATCGAAAGTAACGCCCACTTCAATGGATGATCCACATTGAAAAGTTGACCAGCTTTTTATGACTGTGTCATTGTCCTCCTCACGCTGTTGCTTCTCAGTCAATATTTACACAGAATGGGATACTGCAGAACACTAGACTGCTAATAGCAACACAGGAGAGACCGCACACACAACTGTGAACTTAAACTAGGTCTCACGACAAACGCTCATAACACAGTGAATTTAATACAGCTCTCACCACAAGCGTTCTTAAAGATTAAGTACAGATTAAGAAATTGATAAGGAACTTAATACTTACTTCCAAAATAAAGTAATCTCGAATACCAGCTGCATACATTAGATTCCCTGTTGCTTGCTTTGTTCTGAACTGTATTACTAAGCTCATATGGTGATCAACAGGTTTATTTAGCACATATGATACATAGCTTTTACCTTGGAAAGATATAGGAGTTTTTTCTAAAAAGGATAATAGAAATATATTATTATTCAATACATTATTAGTTAAAAATTATAACTAATAACAGCATTAGTAACAACCTTACATACATTTAAAAGTATACAATTGTAGAATACAATTAAATAAGACTTATGGAACATTCTATGCCAAATCAGACATAAAAAAATAATTTTAACTTTAGGATCTAAATTTTCATGAAATTTACAGGAATGGCATTATTTGAGCTCCTAAATACAGACCCACCCCCAATTAAAAAAAAAAAAAACTTTTTTACTTATGATTGTAAAGCGATATATCTTTAAAATTTGTAAAAAAACACTTTTTTTTCAATACCAGCAGTGCTACAAAATGTAATAATTCTAGCTTTATGGGAGATATAAAGTAGCATAAAAACTCATTCAAGAGAAAATTGAGTAGTGTTTATGGCAAATATAATCTTGTTTTGTACTGAAAAGAGTCATGTTGCATATCATTTTCAAATTCACGTGATTAATTTTGAAATGGATTAAAACAAAATGATTAGCATATTAATCTTACAAAATTTGTAAACACATAATTATTACACATAGTATTAGTTATCAAATGTCATAATAGTCATAAAAAATAATAGAATTTCAATTATAGCATTTTAAAGCAAGACTGACAAGGAGGAAGCATTTTTTTTTTGAAAATTTAAAAATTAAAATTTTATTAACCATAAGAAAAAGATTTTTAAAGTATTCAAGGAACCAAAGATAAATTCTTGAAAATGTTATAAAGATCCAAGATGGTTAGATTTAATACCTTGTAGTAATGATCAGCATTTAAACCTAACATGTAAATACAAATACAGTTACACAACTAATTACTATTAGTAAGTATCTTAATTTTACTAAAATTAGTATCATTAAATGATAACAAAATTTAGGATACAATTAAACAGCAACGCTACCATCATAACAATTGGGTCCTTTGCAGGTAGCACCTTTATTTCTATCACAAAGTGAGCCACTTTTGCCCTCAGGACAGCGACAAATATAACCTAATATTGTTGGCTCAGGGTGACATATTCGATATGAGGGACAAGGTCGACGAGAACACTCATTAACAGCTAGCTCACACTGAGGACCTGTAATAAAATGTTCAGATAAGTTCATTTGATACAAAGAAAAAATTCAATATAATGTGTAAATTCTTCATTAATTACCTCCAAATCCAGGTTCACATGCACATTCTAATTTTCGGTAATGTTGAGGACAAACATAACTCATTGCATCAGTGGTAATGCTGATAGCGAAGGCTTTGTCTAAAACAATGAGGTCTACACATTTTCCATTTACACAGCGATCTTTAGTGCATCGATCTTCCATAATCTGTAAAATAATAATTATATAGCAGGCATTTAGTAAGTAAATCAAATTCTATTCTAATTTATAGACATTCATAAATAAAAATAGGATAAATAACTTTCTACTGTTAATGGCATAGTGAAAGAAAACACGGGTTATTTTAATATTTCCTCATTGGGTTATTCTAATAATTTTATAAAATGAATGCAGAGGAAGTTCAAGGCAATATCTGTTATGAAGTGAAGAGGAAGGGAATTAAAAGAAATTTTGTTAGGTATAAACAATCTAAGTGTAATTATAATTTAAACAAAAGGCTAAAAACATTTTTTTGTAAATAACTCAATCAAGTTTATAAATATTGCCTATTTAGAGATTAGATGTTCTGCGAAAATGCTTAGCATTAATTAGTTAGCAATACTTAGCAATATAAATTTTTTTTAAAAAATGACTGTATAAATATATTAATAAATATAAATTAATAAACATAATTTACATCATTAGTTACTCGTACAAATGAATTAAATGCAAATAAATCTTTAAACAATGCAATTTCTTTATTTTAAATGAAAGATTTACTATAATGTAAAATTAAAATTATAGAAACATTAAGGATAAACATTAATAATAAAATACATATTGAGAAAAATAATAATGATAAAAACTCCAAATTTAAAATTTTTTTACATAGTTAAATTACCTTTACAACTTTCAGACCAACACTTGCTTCAAGAACATCTGTCTTTTCTTTGACTTTCGCTCTTACAGCACTGGACGGATGGAAACCATTAGCACCAGCATGCACAGCAAAGACAACATCCAAGTCTTGCTGTGCAGTTCGTTGTTTACGTTTCTTTTCTTGAAGAGTCGGCTGAAGGCTGATTATTTCGACATCTTTCATCCGGACATTCAGAATGTTTCGCAAACCTCTTAAAAAGCCTTTTTTGTAAGTCAAAAGAAAATCCTCTGGAGTGACATCATCCAACCGAATAGCAACACTATTGCTAACAGCTTCACCAGTGATGAGGTTTACATCAATGGAAATCGTGGTAAAAGTAGTAAATTTCCCGTCAGACACACTTACATTGAGTTCATAAGATCCAACGTCCAATCCTGGTAGGGCAACAATAGTACCATCTTCTCTGTCAATGGTAAATAAGTTTTGATGAGGAGATAGTATGTCATAGATAAGCTTATCATAAGGATCTTGATCGGTAGCATGAACTCGGCCCATGACACCACCAGGAAATTCATCTAGGTATGAACTGACTGATACATCTAAAGGTGTAACTAGGGGTGGAAATCTGCTTTCTTCGATGACTATGATATTCACCCAAGTATCACTGTATAAAGGTGGGTTACCACCATCAGTGACACGAACTTGGAGAAGAAACTCACTTTGATTTTTCACGTCAAATTTACTGGCTGTACGTAAGGTAGCGTCTTGCTGTACCACCCGAAAAGCATTTTCGTCATTCCCGGAGAGTATATCAAAGATAAAAGGTCCTGTGTTGGGTGGTGCATCTTGGTCAGTGACAGTGAATTTTAAAACAGTAAAACCTAATGGTTTTCCTTCCTAGAAAAATACAGATGGATAATAGTTTAGTTTGAAATAATAATATACTCAACATGTTTAAAAATTTTCAAACAAAACAAATAATGTGAGTATTAGATAATTGGAAAAATTACGATAAAAATTTTGCATGAGAAACTTAAATTTGGAGAAAATAAAATATTTTGAACCAGAAATTCTTATTTTATATATAATGATTTCAGCCTTTGCTTTTCAATAACACATTTCTTTCATGTAAAAATAATTGTGATAGGGGAAAAAAAGGCAAAATAGGAGAGAAAAAAAGGCAAAATAATTAGATCCAGAATAAAAAATATGGCTGGAAAAAGCAGAAACTCAAATATTTATTCAAAAGAAAAATTTACTTAGCAATAAAACTTATTTGCAATGATGGATTGAAACTGTTCATAATTAATATAAGTTAAAGATTTTGTTACAAATGAGCAATTAGAAACAAAGTACATGAAAAGAAACAATGCACGGTAGCTACATTATTACTTGAAAACAAACTAAGACTAATTTATCTGTATCCAAAATATACAGATAAAATAGTCTCAATTAGCGAATTACAGCATGTAAATCAAGATATATATACCACTGGTAGCAAAAGCTAAACTTTCTAAAACAATTTTAAAACTCAAATCAGTATAACACATTTAAAATTTTCATTTATCATTTCACTTGAATGCGCTTTTCTTAGCTGCTTATTGCTGAGAAGTTCAAATAGTTCTTTGAAAGGTTTTTACTATTTAACAAATTAATGATTTTTTTAAGGCTAGAATACTGAAAAATTATAAACAACTTTTATTTTTTACTTTGCGTAGTTAGTATACATACATCAATTCTCACTGAGATTAAATAAGTTAATAAAATTATCAGTAAAATACTAATCTAGATAGGATTACTAGTTGGTAAAAACTAAAATATTAACTACCACAAAAATCAAATAAGTTATAGTAAAATTTTTACAAGTGAGATTATAGTGTTATCACCTTTATGTTTGTTCGTTAATTTCATGATTAATATGCATAATAGGATGTCACATCCCACACATTATTTATAAGTTAGGGAATCAAACTGACAAGTTAAAAAAAGTTTGGAATTATACAAGTACTTTACGGTGAAGCTTTTGCGCAGAGATGAAGGAACTTTTTTCAAATTGGATACCAACAGCACCCTGTATAACAACAATACTTAAAATATTAAACAAAAAATATTATATTAAATATTTTAACGAACTCTTTCTTCAAAGTAAGATTATGAATGTATTGAAATTCAAGCTTATAAGAAAATATATAAGGCATTTATCAACAACAATGCAAAGTCATGTTTTTCTAAAACAGCTAGATTTTTTATTTGCATTAAAGAGTAACTTTAATGAACATTTTAAATTATATAAATTTAATAACTAAATGAGCTAAGCTTTATCATAATAAAATATAGAACAGTGGTTTAAACACTGATGCAAGCAAGCTTGATTTATGGGGATAAACAAGAAACTGGAAGAAGGAGGTAATTTTAGAATTTTGATAAAATCTAACAGGTGAATACTTTAATGCAGGAAAAGAACATAGGGCAGGATATAAAAATACTTACTCGTTTTTTAATTTTATCCAATTTGTCCAGCTAATAAAAGGATAGGAAGGAAAATTGTGATAGAGGATACAGGCATAAAATTCCATGCATTCATAATAATTTCAAACTGTACCATTCAAGATATTTCTAAGAAAATTGTATTGAATAACAATAATTTAAAAAACTCAACTATTTTGTATTTTAGACCGCTTTTGTTAGGAGTTCCTAGGTTAGGTTCTTTTGTTAGGTTCCTTTTGTTAGGAGTCTAATTAGTTTCATCAAATATCTTAGACTAAACTCTTTAACTGATTTGCACAGACAACATAAGATAAGGCTTACATTATTCTGTATCTCAAAATTAGTTCCCCTATGTAATTAGATAGTGTATATAATAGAAACAGTATATGTATTAAAGAAACATTCTCCTACATTTTCAAATCTACCAGAGAGATAAAAACTAACTAAATAATCTGTAGTAAATTGTTCACTTTCTATTTACTTCACGTACTTTTTTTTAAAACCTAATAGACTAAAATTATTTGTACCTGTGTTGCACATAAAGTTAAATACTCGCAGAACATATTCAGACTTTGCGGTAACTTGAGATAGTAAATAACTTCTTACAAGTTATTTTCAATGAGCATGCAATGGATTTTGTTTCCTATCTTTTTCTAAAAGTTATAAATTTAAATTTAAGACACAATTTGCAATCATTCTAGGGAATTTGTATACATGTTCTAAGAAAAATGTTCACATATTTTTACTGATTGACAGCTTTGCATTAATTTACGCTATTGTATAATTTAAGGAAAAAATATGAATTATGTTATTAGCATACATATACAACAACAAATAAATTTGAAATATCTCTATTATACAGTCATGGGTGTCGTAGGTGAGAGGGGACAATGTCTTCCTCCATAATTAGAAATCTCTTCCAAGCCCCCCTCTCAATATTTCAGACAAATAAAGGTTTTCATGAATCATAATCTATTTAAATTTATCAGTGTTAAAAACAAGACAGAGATAAAAAATAACGAATATTTTTGCAGAAAATTGTTTTTGTCATGAATGAAATTTAGAAAACTATTGAGACTGTGTTTTAATCATACACCTCAAAAATGGGACCCTTGCGATGCTCGTTTATATTCAATGTGATTCAATATAGATGTACAACAGATATTGATTTTTTTTATGACAGAAATAAAAATAAATCACAAGTCTTAACTAAAGAGGAAAATAAAAGTTTTAATTTAAATTTCTCGTTTTCATTTTTATTTTAAACTATGATCATACTTTACACTAACGAAGAGTTTTTTAAAGTTTTAAAAACTGAGAACTGAATATAAAGTAAAAATATTGATTTTTTGAATCCATTTTTAAATAAAATACTTATGAACATAGTAAAATATTGCAAAATTTTCTGACATAAATAACTTATGGCAAACATTTACACAAATTTCCTTCATTTTGTTTATTTGATCGCACACTCTATTAAGTTTTATGAGTTTAAATATTTAAGAATTATTAAGGATTAATAACAATGAAAATATGGTAGGGTATAACAATTTATCATGCAAAAATTTGAAAAGAACTTTACTCACAAATACATAATTTCATGCCTATTTACATGATCATTCTAAACATGCAACATTCTCAAACTCAAATATATGTATTTTCTGAGGTTACATTAAGTGGAATAAGTGTTGTTGGAAGTAGTAATTATAAAAATGTAAATGTTTCCAAAACAATGTCTTACTTGAACTATAGCTGTGTAGTTATCTTCAGAAAATAGGGGTGGATTATCATTTATGTCTGACACTTCAATATTGACAAAACAAGAGCTGGAAAGTCTTGGAAGACCACTGTCCTCAGCACAGATTTCCAAAACATAATTAGACACCTAATGGTCACAATAAATCAAGTTTAAAACTTGAAACAAAATTTAAAATATTGAGAATGCTAAATAAAAATCTAAAACTATAGAAAGACATATTAAAATGATATTAGTAGTAGTTCACCATGACAAGATTTTAATTTAAACAAATGATGCTTATTGAAAAGTTTTGTTTTGCCAATAAATGAACTATGGACAATTACAGCATTCTTTAAAATTTTATATTTGCAGTCCTGACTTAGTAGAAATCGTCACCTAAATCCAAAATTCTGTTTTTTTTTTCTTCCACAAAAAAATAAAAATATAAATAAAAAATCAGGAATCCATAATTCATTATTAAATTTTTTTTACAGAGTTAAAAAATTATATATGTTCAGAGCTAAAAAACTTTATCATTGAACCATTGAAAGTTAGTATTATAAAAATTCGTTATATTAAAAATATTTGTTCACATTTTCAATCAGTTAGATTAAGGCATATATAATACATATTTTTGTTCTGACATATTTATTTACAATCTAAAATATTGTTATATTAAAAATATTCGCTCACATTTTCAATCAGTTAGATTAAGGCATATATAATACATATTTTTGTTCCGACATATTTATTTACTATCTAAAATAGTTGGATTTATTTACAAAAATTCAAACTAAAGCTAGGATGTAATGGCTTTCAAAGCACAACAGTTATGAATAAACAGCACATGGCTAAGGGCACAGGTGTTGTTAGCAGTTCATGAATAATCATGTGATTTTCAGTTTCTGATAAAATCAAAAGTAAATATTTTTCGATTAAAGATAACAAAATAATTAGCACTCTAAGAGAAGAAATAAAATGTTTTTTCAGGGTTTTTAGTAATTCTAAATGCACTAAGAATTAAAAAAAAAAATACTGGCAGTAATTGTCTATTTTTTCAATCTATAATAAATATTTTTATGTTTACCTATATAGTTGTATAATATTTTTCCAGTTCAAAAGTCAAGAGAACTTCTGAGCAAAACTACCACACTTATATGTTACATGATAGAAAAATCCATAAAACTTTCTATTGTTGATCTAATATCAAAGACAATTAACATTGCATCAGCTACAACTAATTGTACTATTATAAATTGCGCATTTTTATATCAATACTGCGTGAAAATGTAAGTGTCTTCTCATTGGAATTAACAAATTAATTCAGAAGAAATAAAGTAAATATTGAAAACAGTATGTTCTATGGAAATGAAATAATTAATCGAAATAACCCATTGGAGAAAACTGACTTAGACATTTGGGCCTGCAACAGACTGTGGTACTGAAGAATGAAGTGATTCAATAATTAGATAATTAAGAAACTAAAAAATCTATAATTACTTTTTCTCTATCAAGATCAGAAGCCAAAGATATGTATCCCATATCCTTGTCAATTAAATATTGTCCATATCTATCGCCTCCACAAATTGTGTATCTCAGTCTGGCATTTGGTGGACTATCACTATCAGATGCAATAACCTGAAAAAATAAATTATTCATAGACTCAATCATCACATTCTAAATACATTGGATTAATATACACAACTATGACACATAATGTGCACGCTTTTCAAGAGTAAATACCTGAATTATTTTATCAGCAACTAGAGCATCTTCCCTGATTACAGTGCTGTAAGATTGTTGTGAGAATAATGGTGCATTATCATTGGCATCACTAACTGTTATATTAACCCCAACTTCAGTAGATAAAGGTGGAGTTCCCCCATCAACAGCTTTTACTAAAATATAATATCTTGGAGCAGTCTCGTAATCCAGTTTTGAAGCTACTGTTATAGTACCTGCAAAAATGCATTTATTTAAAAAAAAATTAAAATACTATAAAGCTTTTTTTGTTTTAAATTTGTTCATTAATCTAAGTTCAGTTTCCCAGTTGATAAAACATAACTTGAGCCAACAATAGAAGAATATAAGAAATCCAGTTTATTAAGTGAAAAATAATTCAGTTTATAGCTCCAGTTACGGAAATTGAAAATATATTTAAATTTCTATTAAGATAGTAGGTATATTTTTACCTTAATTTATACACTGATTAATGTTCAGAGCTAGATTCAATAATCAATTTAATTGGGTTTTGAAACATTAACTGATGTATCCTATGTCATGAAATCAATATACAAATATCATTAAATATATATATATATATATTTAAGAGACAGATAATTTATGAGGAATATAAATGAAAACTATGGAAATTCTGATCACAAAATTAGTTGTTATTCATATGAATAAAGTTTATGCTATACAGAAATAACAAAGTGGAATGTTTTAGAGAGTTAAAATAATGATTTTTTATATTTTGAGGTTAAAATTTAGTTTTTCATAAACTTTTCACAGTATTTCTAAAAAAAATCATCCCATACTCTTAAATATATCAATAAGTCACTCAATTTAAGAAAAAAGTTGTAAACAATATTTCGTAAAACGAGCAAATTCAGAAATGGATTACATTAAAATATAAATTATTCAAAATATTAACTTATATTTCTCTTAATAGAAATATAAAAAAAAGAGATGATTTAGATCAAGTTGATAACAGATGTTATCTTTAGTTTTGGATGCATTGCATTTAAAGATATAAGATTAAATAAAATATTAATTTTCTATTCTATATATATAAGTTACAGTATTTAAAAAAAGTTAAATTACGCATAACTTATTTTGCTTTATTTATCGGATCAAATTGTGTTTCCATAAAAAAAAAGGCTTTTAAAATTTCAAACATATTTCTATTAATTTTTTGTAAGGAAAATTCTCCTTATTTTAAACTTTAGTTAATTAAATTATCAAACCTTGTTTGGGATGAATGGAAAATACTTCTGACTTTGGAGACTGAATAAGACTGTAAGCTATTTCAGCATTCACACCACTGTCTCTGCTTGTTGCAGTTACTTTCAGTATTTCGGTTCCAACAGCAGCTGTTTCAGAGACTGTAGTAAAATAATATTTAGATGTGAATTCAGGAGGATTATCATTCACGTCTTGTAGTAACACTAGGAGAGTACAGAGGGTTGAAAGTCGGGGTATTCCATGATCACTGGCTTGTACGGTCAAATTATACATGGCTGTTTCTTCTCTATCAACAGGTTTATTTAAACTAACAATACCCGTAGTTTCATCAATGCTGAAATGGCTATGGGCAGAATCAACCAAGTAGTAACTTATTAAACGATTAATACCTAAAAAAGTGTAAATAAAATTTTAAAAAATAATTTTAATATTAAAGACAAAATATTATTTAGACATATTATCAAATAAAAATATTTACATACTTTGAAAACGGTTTTATTAAAACAATGAATATTATATTTGTTACAATGCAATAATTATTATTTTATTTTGTACTATTTACTGTTTAATTGATTTGGCAAGATATTTATTTAATGTTATATTTTCTTATGTTAGAATAAATTATTTTATAATATTTTGTTTGGCAGCTACAATTATAAAAAATATCCCCCCCCCCCAAAAAAAGAAAATTGGCTTACAAAAATGTCTACTGAGTAAAATAATAAGCCAAAGTTAGAGATACGTGATAAACTAAAATCTTTAAAATATTTTCGATTTGGAGCAAATAAGATAAGAAAATCTAATTAAAACTGTTAACATATCACAAAAGAATAAATAAAATAAGTACATATGCTTTTATATGCATATTAGGTTAGTATAATAGCATTTTGCATAAATTGATTTCTAGAAACAAATTTTTTCCCATATAATCAAATCAAGTAATACAATTCTTTCAACACAGATTAATTCTCAATTAGACTTATTAATATTAAGGCAAGGTTTTTTTTTTTAATTTTTTTTTACAAACTTTAACACATTTTCATCTTTCAATTAATGTATAGATAACCTTATTTTAAGCTTTTTCCTATTTAGCAATTATTACTAACTATCAAAGCAATTATTTTCATTGAAAGTAAAATATTTTAATCACTTAAAGTAAAATAAAATTATAAAAGTGATTTTTGCAGTATGGTATAACAAAACATATGTGTTAGATGACTAGATTACCTGATACAGAATCAATTTGAAGTTGATTAAATTAAGTGTTACCAAATTAATCTGTGAGAATTTTAATTTCTGAAGATTTTATTGTCACTTATTGTGAGGGGTAGAAAAATTTCTATTTCAATATAAAAGTTATGAAAACTAAATTTTACCTTGTGTTAAATTGGATTTTATTTTAAGAGAATAATTGATGTTAAGCAACGAATTTCTATTCCAATATGAAGGTTAAGATATCTAGTCTTTATCCTGAGTTAAATTGGACCTTATTTAGCATCTTACTAGCTACTAACATTTTAATTTCACTTTTAATTTGTTTTTTCTCAAGCTTGATAAAAGAGTAGTACAATTTGAATTTAATGTTTCGTTGAATAATGTATAATTTATACTCAAAATATTTAATCTATATTGCACCACTCCTAATTAAATAAATTTTAAGAGTGGGAATAATTGTGTTATTGTGGTCTTTGTGTTACTGTATGCAGAATTACCACAACAGTCAGTAGAAATTATTTTTGATATTAGAACATAGTTACTAAACTACATTCTCATTGAACAATAATAATTAATTTAATTAATTAATAGAACAATAATAGCATAGAAAAAGCAAAAGTCAGCATAGCAAATATTACCAATGTCTCTATCACTAGCATGTACTTTGGTTATCAAAGTTCCAACTTCTGAATCTTCAGGGATATTTACAGAGTATAATTCTTGAGCAAAGACAGGTGCATTATCATTGGTATCACTTAAGAGCACTTCTAATGTGCTCATGCATTCCCATTCAGGATGACCTTGATCTTGAACATGAGCTTCCAAAAGATAACGAGACTTCTTTTCTCGATCGATTGGTTGAGCAGTTTTTAATTGACCTGTTTAAATACAAAACCAACATTGAATGATATTTCATTAATTCTAAATTACGTCATTTTAAAATTAGCTGATTGTGCTAGCTCCCAAATGAATATACACAACAGAATAAAAACAACATGCCACTAAAATCAACAAACATATTGACTAAATTTAATTTCAAAAATGCCATAACCTTCTTAGACTTCCTGCACCTCAAAATAAAAATATTTGTATGTAATAAAAACTGCACAGCAAAAAACCACTGAACAGCCATTGTGTAGCATCAGAGTTTAATTTCTGGTGATGGCTCGAAGCCTATCCAACTTCACATTGATGGGCAACAGCGTGTTAGGGAAGTAAAGATGGCTAGTGCATAGCTGTGACAATATTGCTAAAACATGCTGTTAAAACATCACAGAATTGCGGCATGACAAGGCTTGCAATTTTCACTCACCAGCTTATCATTGGCAACCAAATATTTAGTGTTAGCAAGTCAGTTTTGTATTATAAAATATGTTTCAAATCAAACTATTTTTTCTTGTTATGTGTGTTTTACGTTGACAAATAGTATTAAAATGAGAAGCAATAGTTTCAGACTTTAAGAGGGAGATTAAGCAAAGATCTGCATCAGAGAATGACTACAATGTATGTTATGCTATGATGTACATTACATCTTTGCGTGTTTTACATGCTTTCGGCTGGCCTACCAAAGAAAATATTCTTGAATTTGAGATGGAGTAGATAAAGAAACTCTACACATAATTAAACCCATATATCTTTAATGAACAAGTGGATATTACCTTGAAAGAAAATTGTATTGTTGAAAGATCGTAGAAAGTTGGGCAAAAGTCAAGCTTATGTTTGCTTCATTAAATAGACTCAGATGCTGGAAAAGTTTAACAGTGAAGAAGTATTCCCGAATATGTACCAGATTATAACATTTTTGCCTTATTCTACCAGTGATCTTCCTGTGAGAGAGGCTTCTGCTGTCACAATCGACAGAAGACAGCTTACAAAAACTCTTTAAAGACTGACACACTTACCATTGATCTGCTGAAAATTTCTCAAAATAGACCCCCAACAGCCTAGGACTGAATCGACACATGGTATTTTAGTGTCAAAAAGCAGCAGTATACAAATATGAAGTGCTAAAGGTAAGGGAATATTTTGGATGTCTTAAATTTCTGATATCTTTTGTATTATAACAACTTTGAATGAGGAAGAAAAAAGATGTTATATTTAAAAAGAAATTAAAACTTGGTATAAATTGGTATAATTATTGGTATAAATTGATAAAACCAATTATTATTGCATGGCTTCAAATAATTGCAAGTATAGAAGCCTAATTAACATTTAATAAGTTAAAAGAAATATTACAGATGAAAATAAATTTTTTTTAAAAGATAAGAGTAATAAAATAAGTTTATGATTGATTATAAAAATGATACATTTATTTTGGTTATCAACAATAACCTAGAAAGTATTTTTTTCAGAAAAGAAACCCATTTTTCTCAAGATTACTCAAGGGTGAAACACTGCTTGTCAGCTTGATATTTCTAGGGTTAAAAAAAAACATTTGGATAACAAACTCAATCAAGTTCAGGGAATTCTTCAATAATGGTAAAGTTTTCTTAAATAAAACAAAATTTTTTTGAACTCAGGGGTGATTGTGAGCCCAAGTCAAAATTCCGGAAAATTTCTCGNAAAAAAAAAAAAAAAAAAAAAAAAAAAAAAAAAAAAAAAAAAAAACAGTTTTAATTGCAAAATTAGAAAAAATTTAAACAAGGATTTTTTTCCTTTTTCTCAATATTTCTTAGTTAAAATATACCTGGAGAAGTAATTAAAATTTACAAATATGTCTCTCCTGAGTTTATGATTATAACAACTATTTACTGATAAATCATGAATATAAGCTTATAAAGTATCTCTCTGGCTCTCCCTTACAAACAAATAAAATAAACTGTGTTTTTAAGTTCCACCTTTGAAAATTTGATTTCCGGAAACTTTTGTGATCAATGATTTTTGAAACATCTGGACCTTCGATCGCCGGAAACTTCCGGATCACTGTTAGCGAAAATTCCGGAAATCCAGATTTTTTCCGGAGCACAATCAGCCCTGTGAACTTATTGCTGTAATTAAAATGAGGAAAAAATAGTTATGAGAAAATATACCTGTGATTGGATCGACAGAAAAATCTTCATGTCCATCACCAGTTAAATAGAAATATAACCGAGAATTGTTATAGCTATCAACATCAGTGGCTTCTACAGTTAAAATAAAAGTGTCTATAGGGATGTTTTCAGAAACCATTTCTGTATATTTGGTCTAGAATAAAGAAAATAAAATACATTTAATTGATATAAGTACAAGCAAATTAAGTAAAATTTGATTCTTAACATTTATGGATAAAGAAAATGGAAAAAAAGTAAGTTTTAAAATTAAAATTTACAACATAAAGTTAATTTTATGTTCTGCAAAAATGTTAATTGATTTTAAGGTAAAATACAGACAAGAGTAGGCACAAAGTACTTAAATGTATTCAATGTGCAAAAAATGAGAGTGTAAGATTTTGAATGTAAGGATAGTTAATCATTTCTCTTTCTACTAGTAGATCTTTAAACTCTTGGAGCAAAAATTATCGATTCACTCATAGCATGAATAGTACAAAAGGACAAGCCTTCCATTTTTGAAATGAATTCAGAATCATAAGATTAATAATTAAAATAGTCAAAACAAATGTAAAGTTGAAAGGGGAAAAATATGCATAAACACTAACTATGTGATAGTTAATTTCAAATGTTTACTGGTAAAAATAAATGAAGATATATGAATATACTTTAGTTCTTATAAACAGTTACCATAATTTTTCTAAGAGAATGAAGCGTGAATATTTTTTAATCAGCTTTATAAAAAGACTTTCATAAAGCGACTTTTGATTATAATAATACACATTCCAGTCAAATATTACTAAAAAAAACTATAAATTAATTATAATTATCATAATTTAACTTGAGTAACAATTCTTCTTACAACTAATATGATAAAATATTTGGCATTTTTATAATTCTTACATAGCATTCAAAATGATCACATTGCGATTATGGATATATAAAGAAGCACAGTTTCAATATGATAAATATAAATACAAATAATATTAGATATTTTCAAAGACTTAATATGCTCTAAAAAATTACCTTCAAGCAAACAGGAGGATTGTCATTGACATCAAGGACAAATATAGTAACCCAAGTCTTGGATATAAATTTTCCATCAGTAACAAGAACAGTAAGCTGATAATCTGAAATTACTTCTCTGTCTAAAGGCTTTTTAACAACTAATTTTCCTGGCGATATAACTTGAAATTGACCTTGAAGATCCCCATCAATAATATAAAACTCAACATCATTCTTAATTTCATCTTTATCCTCTATCTTGAAATTCACAACAACAAAGCCAAGATTGGCATCTTCATAAGCATTACCATTGTAGTGTTGTGATTGAAATACAGGTGGATTATCATTGTAATCTCTGAGTTTTATATTAATAACAGCAGTTGCCATGCGACGAGGTTCACCTTGGTCAAATGCTATAACAGAAAAATTGTAAAAAGAAGTATCTTCTCTGTCTAATGTAATCATCGTAGTCAGCCAACCCGTGATTCGATCTAATTGGAAAATATTAGCTACATTGCCAGCATCAGGGCCAAAATGATATTTTAACAAGCCGTTATTGCTTGCATCAGCATCAGTAGCCACAACTCGCAAGATTGTGGCACCAGGCTCAATATTTTCGGCAATCGATGCACTGTATAAATCAGAATCAAATTTAGGATCATTGTCATTAGCATCTATAACTATAATTGTGACATCAACACAGGAAATTCTAGTGGGCAAATCAGCGGTGGATGCTCTGACATTCAAGTTGTAAACAGATTGGACTTCTCTATCAAGTTCAGATAATAACATAATACTGCCTTGTGCATCGATGCTGAATTTGGACATATACTGTTCAGTATTAGAGCCTTTTGCTGCTGGCGTGAAAGAGAAAGTTAGCGGTCTTGAACAGCTGGCATTCACATATGATATTACAGTTCCTATGGGTGCAGTTTCAGAAATAAAAAGATCATACTTTTTATGCTCAAATTTAGGATAGTCTTCCTTGGCATCAATAAATATAGCACTAACTGGAACAACTGTTTCCAAAGATGGAACACCATGGTCCTTTGCCAAAACAAAAAATTGATAACCATAGTTTTCTGTAAGAAAATAAATAATTAGAAAGTAGAAATTTCAAATTTTGCTTACATTAGAATTATAGTGCAGTAAAACTCTGTTATAACGTTAATCCACAAAAGCAAATAGAATCCTCATAATAGTAAACAACTACACACATTTAATGTTAAAATGGCAATAAAAATTATTGAAGTGTAATAGTGTAGAATAGTTTATGACGTCATTGATAGTTCAGAGTGTTGATTTCAATAGTTTATAAGGGGCCAGGGTAGATAAATAATCAACAAAAGGCACATTGAAAGAAAATAATAGCTCACTGTCTGAAATTACATTATTATGTAAAATAATATATTCTGATAAACTGACTTGGTTGTAAGAACTACAGAGGTACCAACTTTCCAAACTAATTATCAATAAACTTCCTATCAGTAAATATATAGTAATTAGAAGTACAATAACATAGAAAAATACAGTTATCATTTATGGAATTCAAATTAGTGCAATTTTAAGGTGTATATGCACTGAATTCTATATAGATACAAAATATTAATAAAATTATGAATAAATTCATTATAAAATGAAAAAAAATATTTAGATAAAAGCATTAAATTAAAAATTATACAACATTAATACTTTATATTTCATTATAACATGATAAAATTAAATTGGTTACTTGGAATTAATGTTAATAGTTTTTGGTAGAGTTAGAACTAGCCCCATTTTAGCGATTTTCATTTGAACCACTAAAAATTTTTGGGTTACAGTATTTTTGATTTCAGTTAACATTCATTTTGCTTTTCTATAGGGAGCAATAAGGATTATTAGGAATAAGTTTTAAAATAGCTAGTCAAATGGGAAAATATGGGATTTTTTTTAAAAATTTCTTGTTTTTATCAAATAATTTACGTTGTTTATAAAATTGCTTGAGTAGGAAAAATTATAGTAAATTAGTTGCAAACAACAAAATTTCCTAACTTTAGACAGTTAAGAAAAAAAAAACTTTTTTTTTTAAAACAGACTATAAACTAAATTCTCAAAATCTGCAAAATTTATCACTCAACTGCAAGACCTTAATCTTGAGTATGAAGTTGTAACAATTGCGGATAAATCATAATTGTTGGCAACTTTGGTTATACAAGAATTAAATTTGTCTGAGAACTACATAAGATCATTAACATTATAAATTAACAATCATGCATAGAAAAAATAATGAGTAAAAGAAAGTATAACTACATTTGGTGCTGATTTTATAAACGAGTTCACATACCTGCCAACTCTTCCGGTTTTTCCGGAAGATTTTATTTTCATATTTAAAGTGGTAGTAAACAAATACTATTTTTTCTTTTATAAACTAAATTTTTAAATGATTTTGATTACCACTATTCTTACAAAAATTAAGCACATATATTAATATGCATTACTATCATGGTTGTCATCTTAAGTTTTCTCAAATACAACGCATTTGTTTGCTAAAAATTGAAGTTTTAATTCCATTTTAATACCACTGGGAAAAATGATAACGGAAGGGATTAAAAGTTGGCAGGTATGAGTTCATCTTTAAGGATATAAAAATTACGGCAAACAAAATTCCCACTATTTATAGAAATTACATAGCTGTTATACACAATTTTCAGAAATATGGCACACATTAAAAAAAAATGAATGATTACCCAAAAATTAAGTATGATCATGATTTTAGTTATAATTAGCTATTTTGAAAACAATTACAAATCCATCACTTGGTTAGTGTAGTTAAAGCTTAAAGTAAACAAGCACTATGGCTGAAAAATGTAAATGAATTTATTATACAATCATAATCACTAAAACAACATATTTTCTATAAACTCTCACAACTTGTTGAACAATAAGTAATTTTAATTACCATGCCCAGTTGCCGCCTTTCTGATGTAAACTTCTCCAGTATCATGAGTAATTCCAAATAATTCAGATATGACACTATTATTAGATTTATATAAAGAGTAATCAATAGCTGCGGAAAAACTTTCGTCATTATCAGTAGCATGAATCTAAAGAAAAAATACAATTACATTAAGGAAGAGGTTTAAGAATAGAAATAATTTGTTACTACATATATTTAAAAACACTCAATAATTTATATTTAAATTTTACTGATAAAAGGGTATGCAATATAATGTAAAATTATATTAAATGTTATTTAAGTAATATTTGAACAAAATTAATATTATATTTATTAGTGTTGCAGAAAGCATGTTCATTAGAATAGTTTTTGATTTCTATATGATAAAACTATTTTCAAACTCATCAATTTCCTTATGTAAATTTAATGCATTTGAATACATTATCAAACCAAATGAGAAAAAAATTCATCAACTTTAATTTGAATTTCATAATAATGCAAGTATTCTATAAAGATTTAAAATTAACATTCCAACTTTAGTATAATATCAAATTAATTTCAAACTTACAAAAATGATTGGCAGCACCATACAACACTTAATATTGCCTGAAACATTTTATTTGTGTGTTTTTTTCTAACAATATCATTAAAGTAGGCATTTATTTTATGATGAGCAAAATTTGGACACTGCTCAAAGAAAAAAAAAACTTTTATTTTATTTTGGCACAATATACAAAGAGACTCATGATGACTTGGAATATTATTGAGGTCACGTAAATGTCTGCGACATTTCAGGGATAGGTTATGCGAAATGATACTTTAAAACTTTAAGGTGAATATGAAACTAACAATTTTGTAATCTCATCTATAATTTTTCTTAAACAAACAAAATGCCTAAGTACATAGAATAAATCAAAGGAGAGGAAAACTTATAAAGATAATAAATGCAATTTTTCAAACATCACATGCAATAAACAAAAAAGGAAACAACAGAGAAGATTAATCGGACATGGCTGGTTAATAACAGCAACAAAATTAAAAATAAAAATTTTATTAATAAAATATTAAACCATGTCTAAGGTATTTTTTAAGATTAAAGCCACTCTTGAATTATATTTTAAAAATAACTGAGATATTGGTTCTTTCAAATATCAATTTTATAATCTGGAAAATATATGTTTTACAAGTAAAGTACATATATAGATGCATGTTATGTACAGAATTTTGCAGAACAAATAAAAAAATTCTTTTTTCATGCATCATATGAAAATGATACAAAAATATGAGATGCAACAATTCTCTCAATAACAGTTGAAATACTAATATAGTTGACAATTTATGACCAAATAATGATGTTTGAGCCTCAGTATTACATCATGTACAGATTAATTAATTTTCAAAACGCAAGTAATAAATAAGAATAAATCTCTCAACAATAGTTTAAATATTCTTTATACTAATATAATTTCAAATAATATAGTTTAAATTACTGCTTCCCATCATACACTTATTAATTTGCTTAATATTCAAAACATAAGTAATAGATAAGAATTTCAACTGCGCAAATCTTAGACAGTAATAATTGCAATATGACATTTAATTTTAATTAAATGCTATATGACAAAAAATAATTACATTAATACATTTCACTACAATTAATTACCTTCAGAATAGTTGTTCCGATGGTCATATTTACAGGAATGGTAACTGTATATTCAGAAACTGAGAACTGAGGCATGTTGTCATTCTCATCAGTAATAGTAACTCTTACAATAGCATAACCACATCTTCCACCAGAATCAACAGCTGAAATTACCAACTCAAAAAGTTTTTTCTGCTCTCGATCAATTGATGAAGTTGTAAATACTTCACCTATAGAAAAAAATAGTGATAATGATAAATAAAATGAAAAAGTTGACAATAAAAAATAAGCCGAGCAAGAGATCAAATGTATGTTATTCATAGTATTTCAGAATCAAAAATTTGTTTAATCTAAAATAATCCAAATTAATATAAAAATCACAGGGTGTTTAGCAAAAGGCCGACAGTTTTCAAAATTAAAAAACTCAGAAAAAAAGTACAATAGAGGAATGAAACAAAGGCATGTTTATTGCGAAATCTGGAAAAATAGAAATGTTGAAACTTAATTACCTTGCCAATAGCAATGAATGATCTGAGAGATCAGTTCTAGCATTAATGTACCGGAGCTTTGCGTACTGAATTAGGAAGTTTAAACTATATATTCTTTTGAACATCACCTATTTCTGATTCTAGAATATCACTGCTTAAACTGCAATCTTACAGATTTTTTTTTTTTTTTTTTTAAGAAACCTGTACAGTTTGGAATTTGTAATGGTGAAAGCATACAAACTGTTGCCATAGGTAAAGAATTCTGCTAAGCTACACAAGTAGCCCATTTCAATCACCAATAACAAATATTGGGACTTCATACAAAATCTGCACCATTACTTAATATTAAATATACCAAATACAAACTGAATTGATGAAGGAAAAGTATATTTTAAAAGTCTCATTATATGGAAACAAATAGGAGAATAATATTATTAGAGCATATGTAACTTAAACTTCATACATGCACAATTGATATCCAAAAATGAAATATTTACATAAAATGTTAGAATACATATCTCGTACCAGAATGTGGATTGATTTTAAATAGCTTCTGGTGATTCTTTTCAATCTTGTAAACAAACTGCCCATAGCTGCCAATATCTTCATCAATTGCAGATACAGTTGTTATAACTTTGCCAGCTGGTACATTTTCTGGAAGAGCTACAGGATAGACATTATGTGAAAAGTGTGGTGAGTGATTATTAGCTCCTTCTATAGTGACATAAACACTTGCATACGAAGAATGAACTCCATCTGTAACTGACACGTTTAGAATATAGCTTTTTTCAAAGTTGAACTGGTGCAGGTTGGACATAGTTATTATTCCTGAAAGAGATACAATGTACATAACTTTAACTAGTCTAAGAAAAAACATATTGTTAAACTTAGTTGCAATAGCATACAAAGAAATTACAGGAATAAATAAGAGATTAAAGAAACACTTTTTTTGTCAAAGTTCTAATTTAAAGAAAAAGTTTTTATACAATTAGGCACAAAATTTTATTTTGAAATTATAGTAAATTAAACATTCTTTGAATAATTGATATAAACATAACAATACGTAAATAAGATATAAATATTGATGTAACATATATGGGAAAAGGCAATGACCATAACTAAATTAATAAACATTTATTAACATCAGGGCAGAATACAAATCAATTAACACAAAAGAAGAGGCCGTCTGCCTCGTCAGCCTTCAATCACATTCCCAGTGCGGGAAGAACAAGAATGCCCATCTAACTACATTTAGTTAAAGGGTTAGGAAGTCTGCAATGGGATTTGTGATGTGCACAAGGATGTGCATGTGCATAAAGTGGTGAATACACTTCCTACACATAGATGTATAAGCAATGACAAAACATAATTGTTGATATAAAAGATAAATTGTAAAACGAATTTTATAAAACAAAATTCAAATGTTTAAATGAATAAAAATACAATGAATAAAATACATTATTAAACAAGATAAGTGAAACATAAAAAACTTCGACAATAAGGTCAGATGTTTAGAGTTAAATTATTTTTAGATTGAAAAATATCACCTTAGTTCAAAAAGTATCCTGAACTCTCTGGCTACAGAAAAATTAATATAATTTTCGATAAATTCTCCGGGAAATAAGCCATACTTTATTTATGAGGCAGCAATTATAGTACGTAAAATGCTATCTGAATTGTTGGTAGATATATCATTATATAAATTGGAAAACAATATTTAAATTACTTAATCAAAGAGAAAAAAATTAAATTTCATAACATTAGGAATATGTTTACTTATTAAAGTGCACAACAATAATTTAGAAAAATTGCAAAAAAATAATATAAAAAACTATATTTAATCTTTCGTTTTAAAAATACTTGCCTGTTTGTCGATTAATAGTAAATGACTGCAGCTCATTCCCTTCTATGATAGTGTACTGCAGTTTAGACTGATCAGACTCATCTGGGTCAGAAGCCATTACCATCGTAATAAATTGACCACGTTTGACTTCTTGGTTAACTACACATTTATAATGCTTGTGATCAAACTCTGGAGGATTGTCATTCATATCCGCCACTCCAACCCAGACATGAGCAGTTGAGCTGAGGCTTGGATGGCCGCCATCTGTTGCCATGACAGTAAAGTAGTGTTCCCTCTTTGTCTCGTGATCTAGTGGTTGCTTGATGGTAATTGTTCCATCAAATGTATCAATATTGAAGTGGGAAGAAGCATTACCCACAATATGATATTGGATATGTTGAGTTGCCTTTGTATCACGATCTGTTGCACGAACTTGAAGAACAGATGTTCCAAATGGCAAAGCTTCAGAGACAGTTGTGTTGTAAGATGGCAGGTCAAACATAGGTGGGTTGTCATTTACATCTTCAACATCAATGATTACTTGTATGTCAGTGTAGATTCCACTTACAGCATCTGTGGCTCTTAATGTGAGAATGTATTTGGGAGTGGTTTCAAAATCCAAATCTTCTACAGCATAAAACACACCTGAAACATTTTTTTAAAATAATGAACAGAGAAAATGATTCGTAGTAAAATTTAATTTTCTATATAAATTAATTTCAAGTGTTTCAAACATGAAATTTTTTCCCTTTAATGAAGGAATTATACACTAATCTATTTATAAATAGAAAGATGGAAAGAGACAAAATTCAACCTACCATATACCGTATTTTTGTCATATCGATGACTTTTCATCAAGTGTTATGAGATATATACATAAACATCCTTAACAATCAATAATTTACTCAATAGGGAATATCAATAAAGAATTATATATTTTACAGAACTTGAAAAAGTACTATCTTTTTCTAACAACTGTTATCTATCTGATGCTAAAAAAAAATGTATTGTGCTAATAAATATTTCTGAAATTAAAAATATAATAATAATAACTTTGAGCAAATATTATCGATTTAAAGAAAACTATATTTCAGCTTTCAGATGTATAGGTAAAAAGAAAACAAACTAAAGCTTACAAGTAATATAATTTAATACATTAATACATAATTATACGTGTGTTACACATTTATTTATTAGCAATCATTGTTAAAATATTTTGCTACAAGAGATTTATTATAAATTTTCTTTCTAATCTTGGAAAGAAGTTGACAGTAGAAAAATAAAAACAACAAATTGTGGAAATTATTTTTATCATAACTGAGGTGTTAGAAAGGGAGAAAAATTCAAATAGTAACACAGTAAAAAAAAAATTTCACAAGTCTCTTTAAAATAAAAAAGAAATACAATAAAAAATTCCATTCCATTTTCTTTAGGACAGATCATTTATTAGAACAAAAATATGTTTGCACTAGATTAAAAAGTTATTTATTAGTTATTTTTGAGATTGAAAATGCAAAGATAGACAAAATTTATAAATACACCCTATCCTGGACTCACCACAAAAAATTTTAAATTATAATAAGGAAACTAAAACACCATGGTGAAGAAATACTAGAGCATTTAAAATTATTAGTTTTATTTTAGTTCATACTTATATAACATTAAAATGAGATTTATATTAATAATAAGAGAAAATAATATACTATCTTACAATAAATATATTTAAAGTTCATTTGAGGGTTATTATTATTATTAATAAAATGAATTAAAAACGCCTTTTAAAAATTTTTTAAGGTAAGTCATAATGTTACTTTTTATAGAGTGAGCCCCCCCCCCATCACAGGATTTACGAAGGTGTTATATATGCCACTGAAACTTATAATCAATTGCAAGCCTTTTCTGAAGTGTTTCAAGTGCATTTAAAAACAATGATTGGCTGACTGTGTTAAATTAAAACTGAAAGTTAGAAACCTGAATTAGGAGTATGATTGTAAACTGTTTCTTAATTTTAGTATTATATATTAAATAAATAAAAAATTAGTTAAACGAATAATTCTCTAAAATTATAAATTCAGTCAAATGAAAAATAAATGGAGATTATTCTATAGAAAAGGGATATTTTAATATGATTTTTAAGGCGTTTGTTTTTTAAATTTTTTTTTTTTTTTTTTTTGTTGAAAAAAGAAAAAGTAAAAGGAAATTTAAAAAAATCTACAGATATCACAAGATATAAATTTAACAAAGAGCAAAGAATTTATTTACTTTCACTTTATGAAAAACTCAGGGAGAAAAAGTGATAAACTACAAGTCATAAAAATAAATTCAGATTAAGTACTACAAATCTCAGGAAAGAGACTTGAGTGAAAACCCGAAATTATTACAAAGCAGTTCAGTCTTGTAAGAAATAGTGAAGTATCTGTGATGGGAAAACCTATCTCTAAACTATAATTATGTAGGTTTGTTATTTTTAACCCCTGAGGTATTCATAAAATAAAGCAGATATTTTGACTAAATTAGAGCAACAATAATTCAGTTTATAAAGTTACATAAATTGACCTTCAAAATTTTTTAAGACAATAGAGTATAAATTTTCTAAACTTATACAATTTTTTAACAGATTATTTTTGCAAAAATAAAGAAAATTCATCCAGTTTCAATAAATTAAAAGTACAACACCACACACACAGATTGCATGCAAAATTAAAATATTTATACTTACAGGGTTCAGACAAGTACCTTTGCTCTAAATATTGGAACAGGAAAAGAATGTTTGAATTAAAAATAAGAAGCAAAATTAATATAAGCTTTGAAAAATTAATATAACAGCAAAGAAAAGAAAATCTTATTAAAAATAGCAAACGAAAATTATAATGCAACCTATCACCAAGCTAATAACAATAAATTACAGTAAAAACGAGCTTTGCACCATGAAAAGTTAAATTAGAGTAAGACATATAAATTATTTAGTAATAGTTATTTATTAGCCGAATAAAAAAAAGGTACTTCCATCACCTGACCATTTAAAAAAAACTTAGTAAAAATATTTATTTATAGCCATATATAAATAAAGATCCATAATAAAGAGATTAAGATTGTTTTTTTTTTCATACATAAAAGTTTCTTACTCTGTTGGGTTTCAGTCGAATGACTCAAGCAATAGGCTACTTTAATCCTGTATAACTTTTTTTTTAGAAATAATATATACTAATATATTTTTGGTATTGAGATTAATTTATAAAAAGAAATTCAGTTGGCTTATTACCTAAAAATAATTTGATTTTTAAGACAATTTTTTTGATGGAAAGGTGGGTTGGTTTTTTTTGTTCGAAATTTCACTAACTTTAAAGAATTAGTCATAAAGTTGAACTTCTGCGCTTATAAATAAAAATGAACTTAATGACAAATGCATAAGAGAAAATATCTTCACTGTGTCAGCCTCTCTTCTGGGCCCAATGCAAACCTTTACTGTTAGCAGGGCAGCCAACTACTATGCTTTTTTCTAAATATTTTTAAGAGTTATTCAAAACTAAAGCTTTCAGAATTTTTGGTAATCTTTGGAACATTTTAAAAGTATCACTATGAGAGAAGTGGAACAAAGTGGCACTTCGTGTAAACCTATGATTATTTACTTGTAATGGTGTATAAAATAACCTTAAATCGTAACACCATCGTAAATAGAATCACCAAAAGTTATTAAAACGTTAACTTAACTACCTCAGAAGAAATTTTCCAAGAAAGCATCAAAAGTTGACAGTGTAAGCCACAAAACCTCTTTATTTGTATTTTTTTCTTTATTTCCTGAAGTAATCAACAGGCGTCTAAGCAAATCATAGGTGAGAAAATTTGAGAATTTGGTGAGAATGATAGTTACTAAGGCCTTATAAAAGGTTAAAGATAAAGATTTCAATTCATTAAGATTTTTGTGGTAAAATGTCTTTAAACATAAATTATAATGTGAAAAGAAATCTTAATTGCTGTCTAAGATAAAACAAATAATGAACACTAAATACATTTTTTTTTTATACATCTCATTTCAATTTGGATTGCTCGTAAGATTTTCAACTATGTCATTTAATTACATAGATAAAATAATAAAAATCAAATTATTGTTGCAATTTCTATTAACCATTTAATACAGAGGACTGTATTTTCTTTATTACTAGGACTTGTAAGTAAACTCGTAAGAGTGGAAATAAATGCCCATTTGGGGAAACAATATTAATTGCAAAAGAAATTGCCTTTAAATCTATTTAAGTTTTTATTTTCTTTTTTAAAGCAAATATATGCACAATTAATAAATTCAGATAAAAATAGAATATCTGTATTAAAATTAATTGCAAAGCTTATTTTTATAGAAATAAATATAATATTCAACTAATACAATTAAAATTTTGCAAACAAAAAACTAAAAAAATGCAGGGATAAAATTAAGATATAAATAATTGCAATATAAAATTTTTTAAAGTAACCATAAGAAAATAATAATGAATATATTAAGCCTCACTAAATTTCTCTTCAAATTTGTACTAACATATATAAAAAAAATCAAAATGCACTAATTTAGAAACAAAACTGTGCATTTTATTCCAACCTGTATTGAAATCTAATCGTAAATCTTCTTTTCTATTCCCAGAAACTAGACTGTAAATTAATTGTTTTCCACTCGGATTATTGGCAGTTGCTGTTAAAAGAGGTGATCCTGTCGGAAGATTTTCTGATACTGTGACTTGATAAATTTGTTGGGCAAATACTGGCATATCATGACTTATAACTTGAATCGGAAGTTTGACACGAGAGCTTAAAGCGGGATTTCCTATAAAAATGAAAATTAAAAATTTTTTTTTTTAACTGTTACACATACTACATTATTAATTTACTTACATAATAATCATAATATTATCATAAATTATTATTTTTCACATTATATCAGTACATTATTTTAATATTTAACATAAATTATGATTCAATATTTTCATAGCAGAATTCTCTGAAAATGCAAAAAACATCATTATAAGTCAAGAATTTTAAATCTACACCGGAGACCTTCAATATTTCAATATAAAATAAACTGCTATAGAAAAGTCGCATTGTTGGTGCATAAAATCTATAAGCGAATTTTTTTAACTATTTGATTTAAAAATTTTAATCAGATTTGAGTCAATTTTGCTAATCAGAATCAATCGATTTTGATATTGTTTGACTTAGTAAAGAAGCTGAGAAAGAAATGGGGTAATTAGGACCATATGCTTTCAGACAATAATCTTTAATATACACAAATAAAGTAGGGAAAAAAAAACACACCACATAACCGATTCATCTTTACTACAAAAATTTACTTTGAGAGTTTAAATCATTTCGTATCAACATGTAACACAGCATAGCCTTAAAAGATTATTTGAATTTTTCTCAATATTTTTATTTAGCAACTATTTAAAGGTTCTGGAAATAAAATATACACATAAAACTTTCTTGAACAATTTTTTTCTTCATTTTTTTAACTTTAGTAAAAATTGCACTTGACCATATATTTATTTCATTTGATATTTTATTGTTTCTGCAAACTGAATTTATCAATATATATATTTATTTTTTAATGACCAAGCAGAAAAATATTAACTATGCATTAGCTAAAAATATTTTGATGGAAAAATTTAAGCTTTTTTAGACAACTAAATCTATTGATGATATTTATCGCTTTTTTCTAAAATAAGTTTAAATTATACAAATTAAAGTAGTAGAATAAAAACTTAAAAAGAATAGAAATATTTTAAAATAAATTTTGCTTTAAAAATGCATCGAAATTAATTAAAAAAAAGCATTAAAGTTTCACAAAAAAGAGTTAATGTTAAAAATTAATTTATTACAGTTAACAAAATGGAATTTTGATAGGGTTTATTTGTACTATTTAATTAAAACACTTATGTTGATGCATAATTAAAAACAAAAATACTGTTCCTGAAATTATCTATATTACCTTTATCTCTAGCTTCTACGATTAATTCGTAGTTATTGGAAGTAAGAGGTTGCTTCAAAAATATTTCTCCACTTTTATAATCAATTCGAAATAATCTTTTATCACCATCTAAAATTTCAAATACGACTTCACCATTGGAACCAGAGTCATAATCCACTGCTTTAATCTAATAAAGATAAGGGATAAACATAAGTAAAGGGATAAACATTTTTATTAATCTGTTCAATAAATTAAAAAATTAACACATTTTAAGGGATATTAACATTTGTATTAACAGAAATCTTTCAACAAAAAATAAGCACCTTTTAAGCACCTAAAAAAATATTTTAAGCACTATATACATTAACAAAATGCAAAATAGTTTTCAAAGACTTTACATGATCATGATAAAATAACTAGTTTCTGATAAAGAACTCTTTTCTTGATTATATTAGCTACCATAAAAAGATCGAGAGATTATTTGGTTCGATTTCAGAGGGTGGAAAATGAAGCATGAAATTGAGAATATCTTGAAAAATGCAGCAGAGTTGCACATGAGAGTGCAAGAATCTCTCCAAATCCAGCTCAGTAGAGGCACATGCGGACTTCCAAGTATTTCATTAAACATGTAAAATGATTGGTGCTTTCATACGCTACAGACCGACGTCATGCCGAAATGCATTGCCTTTGAATGAATTGTAAAAATGTTGAATAGAACAATGTGAAAACCAAGCTTTTGCATAATACATGGCGAAAATTGACAGGGATGAGAAAAAAAATCTCATTTTCGAAAAGGAAAAATTAAGCACTTTTTAAAAACACCCAATAAAAAAGCACCTGTAAGAGCTTTTAAAAAAAGAAAATAAGCACTTTTTAAAAAAGGCTATGCACCATGATTAATAATAAATTTTTAAATTATTTTTTTATTGAAGATATGAGTGCAAGAAAATTAAAACAAAAAGCAGGGAAACTCACATAAAAATTTGATTCATTATGAATTTTGTTGAAAATTAAAAATAATTTTTTCTTTTGATATAATTCTTTATAAAAAAAATCTCAAAAAGACAGTTTGAACTACAAATAAAAAGTTTTTCTAATAAAAATTGGAAAGGAGTTATCAAACACAAGGAGATCATAAAATAATGTATCGAACACAAACTAATTTGGTAAACATTAAAACACAAAGAAAATAATGAGCAAATATTAAAATTACCTTAATTAAAGGTACATATCTTTAATGAAAGTATTTACTTAAAATTTATTCACGTGAGCCAAACATCAAGTAACCTCACTTGATCCAAATATCAAGAGCCCAGGCTAAATTATAATAAAGTCTCCCTTCTTGCTTAATAACTTATAGACTCTGGAAAGTCTCCAACTTCACATTAAATTTTTTTTAATCTAATGCTTCTAAAATCAAATTAAGAGCAAGAAAAATTTAATACTATAAAATGTTTATCTTACCTTAAAAACTGAGAAATCAACAGGAGAATCAACCGGGACAACAGCATAATAGGGTAATCCAATAAAAAATGGAGCATTGTCATTAATATCAACAACAGAAACTTCTACAAGAACATGAGCATATTTTGATATTTCCCTGCCTTCATTCCTTACTTCTACGACTAAAGTATAAAAGCTTTCTGCCTCTCTGTCAAATAAACGACCCGTAGAACGTATCACGCCAGTTGTTTCACCAATTTTGAACATATCAGTAGGGTTCAATATATGGAAAGTAAGGTGTTCATTGAGCTCAGTACCTAAAGGTGTTATGATGGCTACAGTACTAATTTCAGTAGAATTCTCTGGAACTTTCGCAAAGTACTTTTCCTCACTGAACTGCAAGCCACTCTGCTGGCTTTCTTGTACTTTGATCACAACTTTTGTGCTTGTTTCGAATTCCCCATCAGATGCAGCCACAACGAGAGTGTACTTTCTGGCTAATCCATCTGGATCTCTAACAGAAATATCTCCAGTTGTGCTATTAATTAAAAATTTCTTTTCTGCATTTCCAGAAATAATACTGTATTTAATTATGCTGAAAGAGTCTGCATCAGTTGCTATCACATTTATCACATGAACACCTTTGTATGTCGGCAGAAGAAGAATGGCAGTGTAGTAGTTTTCTGCGAACATAGGAGGGCAGTCATTGATGTCTATCACAGATATTAATACTTTAGCAGGCACTTCAGCAGTTAGGTGTGGTTTTCCCATGTCCCAAGCTTGAACAGTAAATGAAAAGAATGACTTTTTCTCATGATCAAAACTTGTGGCAGTTCGAATTGCACCTATAATGAATAAATGAGAAAACTGCTTTAAGAAATATTAAGTTCAATGTGTTATTTTCACAATTTGTTTCATTAAATATGAGAAGAGAAACTAGTACCAGTTGTAAGTTATTACTGCTTCAGTATATCCAGTGATACAAGCAAAAATAAAATGAAAAATTTAAAAATTAACTTAAGAGTTAGTACATAATAACAATTATAAGATTCAGTTATGGGAACACCCAGAAATAAAATTTTTCTAATCAATTTTAACAGCACCATACCGAAATAAATAAAAAGAACATTTGACGTAGATACTAATTTAGTTTAATATAAAAGTTAATTAAATGAATATTAGTAAAGCTGAAATTTTTTACAATTAATTTGAATGAAAGAAAATAGATAAAGAAGAGATTTATTTTTGATTAATAATGTATTAATATGAATAAATGAAATTATACAAAGCAAGAATATTTTTAAAACTACACACACATACATATATTAATTATATTTTAAAGAATATATATATGCTACATATTTAATTATATTCTTATATCTATGGTTATACATATTAAAAAACATGTTTTTTTTTTACATTTATAAAATAATTTTTAGAAATTAAACATCTCTATTGCTCTTCCAAAATTAAATTGCTGATGCTGCCTTGTGAACTTCTAAACACTTTTATTAAGCTAATTTCATATCACACAGTCAATATACCAGTCACACAGTTTACATTTCAGTCATAATAATCAAATAAAAAAACATTTAAAAAAGTAGTTTTAAAAACATTACAAATATTGCAAAACAAGCATTTTTAAAGTGTCTCCATAATTCTCTTGGAGGGGGAATATGTATCCTTCAATAATTAGAAATTTCTAAGAGTTCTTTCAATATTTCAGACAACTAGAGAAAATTTTCGGTAATTATTAATTTAAATCCCTTAAGTTAAAAACAAGAAAGAGTTAAAAAGAATCACTCTTTTTTTTTTACCAGTATTTTGCACATTTCCTTATGATTGAAATTTAGAGAACTATTGGGGCTGCTTTTTAATTTCATCCCTTCAAAAATTTGGCCACTGGGACGCCCATGTTACCAGTCATTATATAAGGAAAAATTGGGAGACTGTAGTTTGAGGAGGAGGAAAACCTATAGACCCAATTTCTATTTTAATTATGTGCCTTTTACACAAAATTTAAATACATAAGACATTTCATATTGTAACATATTTTAAAAACTTTACTAAATTCTTACAACTAGCCATAGTTGAAAGAATTATCGACTAAGAATCGGATTTTGACGATATTTGCATTTTTGGTCTCTTTTTTACATTAAGAGCATTTCTTTTTGAGATTTTAGGGCAGTTATTTGTTTTACATAAAGTATTTTTTGCTCATTTTAGTGCACTATTTAATCAGATATAATCTTGTTGCAAAAGCTTTTGTGTTAATCATTTTTATGAGAAACTAGCATTATAATCTAAAAATGAGCTTAGAAACAAATTATATACAATGAAAAATTAACTCAGCAATAAAAATTTTACATAAAGAAAAGTATGGTTAACATGGTTTTAGGAATGTATCACTATATTACAGACAAGCAAAAATAACCAAACATAAATAACAATTAGTTACCTGTACTGGGATCAATGTTAAAGTAAGCTGATGCAGATTTTTCAATGATTTTATAGTGAAGAACTGAATTGATTTCAGAATCTCTATCAGATGCTGAAACTACAAGAGGTTTAATACCATCCACTAAGACCATACTTCCAACTTTATCAGATTCTATAACTTGTCCACGATATTCAGAATTATGAAAGACTGGGGCATTGTCATTTCTGTCAATGACATGAACAAACACAGAAGTTGTACTATTGGCACCAACCATATTGGTCGCTTTGATAGTCAGGTTATAAAATTTAAGTACTTCAAAATCAAGTTCGGCATTACTGCGTAAGATACCAGAGGTTGGATTGATAATAAAACTATCATTGATGTTTCCTGCTGTGATTTCATAATACACAGAAGAACGGCTAGTAGCTATTACAGCAGCCAAAGGTTGGCCAGGTTTTTCATTTTCATGTAATTCTATGACATAATCTTTATGTTCAAACTTTGGAGGAGCATTATTTGCCACAGTTATAATTACATGGACATTTACAGTAGAGTTCAGAGATGGTGTTCCTTTATCAGAAGCTCGAACCAGGAGAAAATATTCTGGCATTACTTGTCTGTTCAATTGTTTGGAGATTGAAATAATACCCAATGTAGGATCAATAGAAAAAGCATTCCCAATATTTCCTATTGACAAAGAAAAAATAAGAAGAATTTAAATATAATTTTAACCTACATTATTAAGAAATCCAAAGAAGATAATGCTGTTTATTATATTAAAAAAAAACTTATGTGCTATAACTGTAGTCAAATTGAATGTAATTTTAGATTTTATTAATTCAGATCTAGTAATATTTCCTTACCGGAAAAAATGAGGAAAACCTTATATTTATTTAGTTTCCACAGGTGAGATACCAAATTATTTTACAGAAAAAAAACAGACTAATGTTCANCAGGTTTTTCATTTTCATGTAATTCTATGACATAATCTTTATGTTCAAACTTTGGAGGAGCATTATTTGCCACAGTTATAATTACATGGACATTTACAGTAGAGTTCAGAGATGGTGTTCCTTTATCAGAAGCTCGAACCAGGAGAAAATATTCTGGCATTACTTGTCTGTTCAATTGTTTGGAGATTGAAATAATACCCAATGTAGGATCAATAGAAAAAGCATTCCCAATATTTCCTATTGACAAAGAAAAAATAAGAAGAATTTAAATATAATTTTAACCTATATTATTAAGAAATCCAAAGAAGACAATGCTGTTTATTATATCTAAAAAAACTAATAAAAAAATGAAAAAAACTAATTATGTGATATAACTGTAGCCAAATTGAATGTAATTTTAGATTGCTACTAATATTTACTCACCGGACAAAATGAGGAAAACCTTTTATTCATTTATTTTCTGCGGGTGAGCCACAGATTTATTTTACAGAAAAAAAAGGACTAATGTTCAGGGAAGAAAAATGAACAAAAAACGTTACATTTGCAAAAATGTTAAAAATAAATGAATTTCTCTTAATATAAAATATTTAATACATTATTTTGGGTAAAAATATGCAATTGAGAATTTTCCCAAAACAATATAAAAAGCTAAAAAAAAAAAAAACCAAATTAATTTGAAATATAGAGTGTTTAAGATAAACATAAACATAAAGCTTAAAAAATTAGGAAGAATGCTATGATACTTTTAATAAAAAAATATACTCTAAAACAAAAACATATTAATTGATACAAAAATGTGCATTGCTTTGACATAGGAAGAGAATAAAAAACACCAAATAAAACTACATATATTATTGATATATATTTCAAATGAAGAATAAAAGAATTCATATCTTTTAGAAGGAAAAAAAATGCTGATAAAAGATTATTAATTGTGTAAAAAACTAAATAAAAAACAAAAAAGAAGAATATTCAAATCAATTTTAAATCGCAAGTGATTAAAAAGGTAAATTAAAAAATTTATATTTTAAAATAAAAACAGCAATTCACAGTATTGAATATGAATAATAGAAAATATTTCACTAAATAGCTTTTAGTAAATTTTTTAACCTTGCAACAATTTCAAAAATGGAATTAGTTTATTATTCCAGTGGTCGCGAACTAGGTAGTAAAAATTCATTGTACTACCTAGTACATAACCACTAGTAGAAGAATAAAGACATTTTCATCATAAAGTACAATATATAGAGTCAAAAGATTATAAAAAAATTAGCTTATGGAGGAAAAAATGAGGTAAAAACCAAGCAAGTTACCAAAAAAAAAAAAAAAAAAAAAAAAAAAAAAAAAAAAAAGAAGCAGGAAAGAGTTTAAGACTTTATGAAAATTACCTGATGCAATGCTAAATTGCAATTGAGCATTTTCTCCTTTATCTTTATCAACAGCTAGTATGCGGATAACAGAAGTTCCAAGAGATGCTGTTTCGTACACTTGACTTTCAAATGATTGGGCAGAAAATTCAGGATGATGGTCATTTTCATCATGCACATTAATGGTTACACGAGCAAAACTTCGCTTTGAGTCATTATCTCTGACCATGACTGTAAGCATGTGCATTTTAATTGATTCATGATCAAGTGGACCTGATATTGACAGCTTTCCAGAAAAAGAATCAATTTTGAACAGATGACTTTGAGGATTAACACTAGGGGGAAAAAAAACATATTATTAGGGACAAATGGTTTTAAATCCAAATACTGAAGAAAATTAATATTTGTGGCAGAAATTAATACTATGAATAATACAAAAAAAGGAGGGCGTTTTAAAAGACAAAATGAAAACAGATATTCCTTGTAAATAAATAACTACTTTTAATATTAATTCTTTAATATTGTAGAAATTTTCAGTGTTGCTATTTTTATCCCGTATAACTCCTACTTCAAATAGTATAAGTTATTCATAGGATAAAACACTGATTTTTATGTAACTAATTATAAGAAAAGAAAGTTAGACTTGATAATCCAGTAATAGACAATTGTTTACATATTTTTATTAAAACTCATTATTTTCGAATAAAAATTTTTATTTAAAAATTTGTTAACTAAAACTTAAAAAGCAATTTTCCAATCAAATTAAAAAATAACATTAGCACATAATTGCTTTAATTTTTTGAAGCTAAAAACTCTTTATTTTCAAATAAAACTTTATTTAAGAACTTGTTGATTTCAGCTTAAAAATTTTTTTTTTTAATGGTATTGTAAATAATATTAACGAGAAGGCAGACAGAAGTGGTTAGTTGGGATGAATTATAGTTTTGTTAGAAAAGGTTTATCAATAGTTACTTATTTCCACCTGTTATATATTGAATAGATGAGGTTCTTATCACGTTCATCTGCATCAGATGCTTTAAGTTGTAGAATAACCCTCCCAACAGGTTCGTTTTCACTGATGTCTACTCTGTAAGACTCCCTTTCAAACAAAGGACGATGATCATTCACATCAATTACTTTAATGGCAAGCTAGTGAACAATAAAATTTTATTAAGAAAAAATATTACAAATTTTAAAAAAAAGAAAAACTTAAATCATTTTTTAAAAGAAATACAAAACAGAATTCCTTGTTCATAAAGAAAAAATCGAAATTTTCAGCACTTTCTCTGTTATTTTAGGTAAATTTTTAAAGTCCATGTATTTTCCAGATTTTCTCTATTCTCGTTGTGCAGTGGCAACCCTGCAATGAAATGTTTCGGCTTATAGATATTTTACATCAGCTTTCCGATCAATGCAGTAAGACACACAAATCATTCACCCATTATTACGCTTTAAGTCTCCAACTTGTTTAGGAAGAGAGTGCTTTCTCCAATGAACCCATAGGTTAATAATAATTTACACTACTTTTTTCAAGAGGTTTAAAAGGAAAAACGTTTTTGATAAAATATTTATTCATTTAGTTACAACTTTGATACACATGAAATTTGAAAAGATTATGAATAATATTAGGGAATTCAGTATAACACCGCTTTCATTGTAACAGAGTTATGTACAATGCATTTAAAAATATTTATCTTTAAGCTAGCTTATTTAAATATACAATTTTCTAGAATAATAAACATGGAAAAAAATAAATCATCAACAAACATCACAACTTTTTTTTTTTAAATAAAGAAAAATTCTGATTTTAAACACAATAATGTGCACAAATTTTTTTTTTAAAGCATTCAGAATGAAAGCTTGAAAAATAGCATTCCAAACACTCGTAATTTTTTCATAGAAAATTAAAAAGATTTTTTAAAGCAAAATGTCATAAAACAAAATAAATATCTACATATAAAAAAAGAAAATTAAGATCTCTACCACAAAAGTGTATGCTATTTTTAGAGCAAGAGGTTTAGCTTGCAAAGAAGCAACATTTCAAACTTTTTAACTATGTTTTAAGCACAAGGGCATAAAATGGGTTTATTTTACAGCTTTATGCATCATGAAAAATTGAACATAGCTTTAACATAATAGATAATAGTAAACCTTGTAAAAAATGATATATTTACCTGCTGATAAACAACATTAACACCATCAGTAACACTAACATTTAATTTGTATTCAGACTTTTTCTCCCAATTCAAATGTCTAGCAACTGACACTGAGCCTTCATGAGGCTGAATAATAAATGCATCATCAGTATTTCCATCTACAAAAATAAAATAACAGCATTAACCTTTAGTTATCTGTTAAAGAGAAAGAGTAATTATCATGATAATACAGATGCTTATTATCATGATAATTAAAACCCTTTTAATGCATTCGAATATCGTAATTTACAATTGATAAAGTAGAGTTTATTTAAAATAGAATCAACTTTCTCTTATTTCAATTTTACTTGAATCTTAATTTATAAAATATGTTTTTTATGGTTTAACAGGTAACACTACTTCACCTGGGAGCTTCAAAACTCACCTACGATGGAATACCATAATTTATCACCATCAGGATCTTCAGCTTGTAAATAAGCAATAACCTGATTGACATCCTCATTTTCTGTAACAGTTTCATGAACATTAACCTCTTTACAAATAGGAGGGTTTGATGATTTTGGAGGACGAGGAAATACATCCACTCGAACACGATTTGTAGATGATCTAGGTGGTTCACCTTTGTCAGTCGCTTGTACCTTAAAAAAGAATTTTTTTAAATACAAATAGAATCAATTGCAACAGACATTATTTTGGTAAACACTTTTACTCAAGCTCAAAAGGAAACAGATAGAAAATGCAATAATTCAAAAATGAAACACAATATTCTGTCGAAAACTGAAAATTTATAATAAAAAACTTACATCGAATTATTTTAGCATAACAATAACTCATTGCTTGTTTCAATAATCAGTAGAAATTGTGTGAACATTAAAAAAAAAAAATACTTAAAATATATATAAATAAAATGTGTACATAAGGATAAATATTGATAATGGACGAAGAAAAAAGGAACCCATTTTTGCCTGTTCAGTCACAGGGGAAAGAAAATCCTGAATTGATTTTTTTAGTAGTGAATTGTTAAAAATAAGTAGCCGTGGTAGCCTTATAGTCAAAATAGTAAACTTTTGGTTGCCAATGGCAGTCTTGTACAAGTGCTTGATTATATTCTGTGTTAAAACTCTTTTCTCATAAAAAAGTATTCTGTTAAATTTCTTTAAAAACATGTGAATATGAGTCGTGATTTAGTAACAGCAAAGCTACTGCTCCAAAGTAACCATTTGTAAATTTTGAAAACATGAATAACAATGTTATACATTGGAAAGGGATTTAAATTGGGAAAATTAAGTTTTTTTTTTTCAGGATTAACAGTTGTACAAGTGCTTGTTTATAATACTGTGTGAAAACTGCTTTCCCATAAAAAAGTACTCTAAATACGCACTTTTTTTTAAAAAAAAAAATGTGAATATGACCCATGATTTAGAAACAACGAAGCTACTGCTCAAATATAACCATTTTTAAATACACCTCTCAATACAGACATCGAAAAAAGAATAGTGTTTACTAGTGCTTTTGAGAATCCAGTTTAAATCTATAAATCCCTCCTCATAGTATTCAAAAATATATGTTTAAGTTTAAAATTCATGTTAGTACTTAAAAAACAAACATTCAAAACATTATTGTTTTCAATATTATTGCATGTCTTAATTTTTTATAGTCTATCATAGTACATGATATAAGTAGGACTTATTGTACAGTAGAATCTCAATCAATCATTTCTCATGGGACAGTTTATTGCGAGCAATTGATACGAGAAAAGAATGAATGTGGATCAGTATAAAACATCAAATAATGACTTAAAAATGTATGAAAAATAATAAAGTAATGGACTTGAAAATTAATAAATTTACAATAAGTATAAAAATATGTAATTGAAAAAAAAATGTACTTTTTGCAAATATATTTGCGAGGCAAAAGAAAGAAGAATAATTACAATTATTTATTTAAAATATTTGAAAATTTTGGTTTGAAACATTTTAAACAGAAAAGTGAGTACAACAGCAAAAGAATTCAATGCTGCATACTACTTACTAAAAAATCATAAGCTTCTCCAGCAATCAGCTTTTGCTTGGCGAAAATTGCACCAGTTTTAGGATCAACTGTAAATAAATCTGACCCTTTCCCAGGAACAAAAGAATAACTAACTTCTCCATTAGCATCAACATCAGCATCTGAAGCAGCAATCTAACAAAAAACACAGATATAAATAAAATATAAATTTGCGAGTAATTTTACTATTCATAAGAATTTCCAGTAATTTATAAATTCTAACTGATTGTGAGCCTAAAACAAATTTAAGAAAATTAATATCACAGCATAAATAAAGTGTAAGGTTGGCCATGTTTTGAGTGTTATCCCTCATTTGGCTATATTTGTATAAAATATCACCGTTAGTTATCTTTTGGGTTGCATCTTGCAGGGCTTAGTATGCTTGCGGAGTCTACTAAATTCTTATGTTGTTTATTTTGTTGAAATTTAAAAACCTGTTATAGTGTAAACACTACAAGTATAATAATATTTGACGGTGCCCTTTTTCAAGTTTTGGTGTAAAAATCAATCGGAAATAGTAACCCGGAAGTATTATGATAAATTTAAAACCCCAGCGCCACCTGTGCTTAGCTTTACACGGTCAATCATCCATTTTTGTGTTTCTATCCATATCATTAATAAGTTTAATTTTATTTTACAAGTTAATATTTTTTGTCTTTTGCTAAGATATTTCACAATGAGACATACAAACTCTAAGAGTAAATAAACATGAAACTCATTCAGAAGGTAATGATTTAAAATAAATTAGACTAACTTAATTGCACACATTGATGTCAACTATGCAAACGGTATAGGCAAAAAAAGTATTCCTTTTACCATGGGCATAGCTGAAGGGAGCACATGTTTTGTTTTTAGAAAACTGATTGTTATTTAAAGTTTTTTATGTATATAAGCATATTTATTTTTTATATGTGTGGGAAAAGTATGTTACCGATAATGTCAACTTTCAAAAGGTACCCCAAGATAGAGTTGAGTTAACATTTATATATACTAGTGAATTGGTATTTAATAATTCTAGTGGTAGACACGCCACAGTATTCCCCTACCAGAATTATGTCTGCGATAGAATTTGGCAAATAATTATCACTAGTTTGTTGGCGAATAATTATTACCAGCTGTTTTGAGAGAAGACTAGAGAGCTGTAATAAGATCACGGTTGTGTGCGTGTAAGCTCCTGTGTTGCTATTAGCAGTCGACTGTGTGCAGGCTTGGTTGTGCCTGTGTGTGTATGATTGAGACTGAGAAGCAACAGCGTGAGGACAATATCAAAGTCGTGAACAGCAAATCAACTGTTCAATGTGGTTCATCCATCGAAGTAGGCCTATTCAGATCACACCCGAAGGTCGCCAGTGTGGGGAGAGTATGTTACCGACAATATCAACCTTTATCTATCAAAAGATATCCCAAGATAGAATTGAGTCAACATGAGTGAAGTAGTAAATTGGTGTTTAATAATTGTAGGGGCAGACACATCACATATGTATGTATATTTATATATAAATGTATGTAAAAATTAAAATAGACAAACAGTTTTCTAAAATTAAAAAGTGTGCACCCCTCACGCAAAGTTTGTGCTTTTCACCCACATTGATCCAACTTGTTTTCGACCTCAAGTTAGCGGGTAAATTATTATTGTATTGCCAATTGTCTGCAAAATACACAAACACATGAAAATAATAAAAAACTACAGATATGCTAACTAGATACCATTCATTATAGTAGTTTCATCCATAATCAGAGAAGGAAAAAAAAATTCACGAATCTCAAGAATGACATATACTTAATTTAAAAGAAACAACAAATAAATTAAAAAGAAAGTACCTGACATAATATAACACTTGGGTCTGCTTCCAGCAATTCCAGAACTGAACAAAGATATGGTGAAAAAGGAAACTTAGGATCATTATCATTCTCATCAATGACAGTGACTAAAACCCGGGTTAATGAGGACAAAGAAGGATTTCCACCATCTTCAATTTTTATCTGAAACAAATTAATACATGATAAATTTAGCTCTCATAGTCATTTATGCATTTACATTATTAATTATAGAAGAGCGGAAAATGTTACTTAAGGCTATTTCTCAAAAGTCCTTCTCTAATTTGAAATAATACCTACTTTTTAGTGAATAATATGCAGAGTTTTCTCTAGGAATAAAAAAGGGAAAGGTGCTTCCTCACAGTTTTGAAAGGGTACTCACATAACATTGCAAAAATTTATCAGATGTGTAAACCCTAAAAGACAATCACTGTGCCCAAATTTTACTTAAAAAAAAAAAATAAAAAAAAAGTAAACTAAAAAATTATTAAATGATAAACAATTTATAAGCTTTTTTCTAAACTAAAAATTACAACTAAATGAACATTCTAAAGTGAATTTGCTTTTTTAATAAAAAAAAAGTATTTTAACTGGTAAAGGTATTAAAAATTCATTAATATACACCTTCCCCCCTCCAAAAAAAGAGGAGCTTATAAAAATTTAACCAGTGTAGAATAATACTATCAAAATAAATATTTGTAATGGTGATCAGAATTAAACCTACAAAGAGAGATAATTTTACCAGTGTGTAATTGTTATTTAAACAGCAAATTCTTTTTTTAAAAATGGAATATGAATAAAAAGGCAACGTCTTTAAGGTATGGGGGCCTATTATTACAAAAAGGCAAAGAGGATGCATCAAAGGGCATGACACTTAAAGGGAAATAAGATAAGTGCTTGGTTTGTTTACATGCTTATACAAAAAAAAAAAATTTACTTTTTTTAGTTAATATAAAATAAAATTACACTTAAAAAAATTTAAATGCTAAAAAATAAATAAACAATATAGATATATTATGCATATAATATCAAAGCTTAACTGTGCCCCCGTTTGGGAGCATCCAGAGTTATGCATATAATATGGAAAATATAGTTTTTTCCTCACATAAACCTTCACTTTTTACTCAAATAAAACAGTGTGTTTATACAAAAATTATGATTTCTAAAACATATCTTCCATCAACAAATAAATTATTTATAATACCCAGTTAAGATAGGTCAATTGAACTTACCTAATAAAAATAGTTTTTTTTTTGCTGAAACTATATTTCTTTAAACATTTTCACAAAAATTTGTTTCAAATTATATAATATTTTTAAAAAAAATAATATAATATTCAAAATAACTGAATAAACTAAAATAAATAAATAAAATATTTGAAAAAACTTGAAGTAAATGAAAATAATTAAAGCATATGATTAAAATAGAAGAAAAATAAAATTATTATCTATTAAATAAACAGTTTAGAATTCTTCATTTTCTAGTGTATAGAGTAAACTACATTTATTCAAAATAAAATACTTTTATATTAAGTATATGTGTCTTTAACTTAATTAAACAAAAACAATTAATTTACATGAAATAGTTGTCATTTAAAATGAAATCATCTATAAACAAATAAATCAAATAATCTATAAGGCTCATTTAAGATATTCCGTTGAGCTTAGTAATTGATTAGAAAGGACTCAATCAAGTCTATTATTTAAATGATTGGGCGTAATTCACATTACAGAAAGAGGAATGAGAATTCTCATTCCAAAATCTATTCCAAGACTATTCTATAGAATACACAGACATAATAATACATATAAATCAGATTGAGTAGTTTCCATGTTGGCTGGGAGCCAAATGTTTCTAATCTAAATTTGGGGTTCAGATTTGACAGCTGTCATTAAATTAAAAGACAATTCATGCTGATATTAAAAGATTATGAATTGCCCAAAAATCTTTAATGCATGAAATGTACACAATTTGTAGTTTCTACAGCAGAAAAATCCACAGCACAATTCATATTCGAAAGTACTTGATTAGGCATTACTTTATGTAATTTCAGTAGCAAAATTAAGTATAACAATGTGATTTTCAATTAAGAACTAAAAGAACGTCAAACATATGTAGTATTTAATAAAACTTTAAATATAATTAAAGAGAAAGACTAACGTTTCCAAAAATTTGATTTAATATAAAAAAAATGATTGCGAAACGTAGCAGTTAAAAATGCTAAAATTCAGATTTAATATAGTTTCGTCAAAATTAGTTTTAACAATTTAAAGGAGATGGCGCCACTTACTTCTAAAGGATGTTCAGCCTGAACTTCTCGATCTAATCTTCGGGAGACAGAAGTTGTTATCAAACCTGCAGACAGACAAATTAAAAATTAGTCCTAGCCTTGACAGAAAAGAAATTTCATAAGCTAGAAAAATTTAAACTTTTCTTCTATTTCAGATTTTATGAAGTTGGTTTCAAATTTTTTTACAAGGTTTAAAAATCGAAAGTTCTGCAGTAGCTTGGTAATTTTTGACAAAACGTGGAAAGAAATCATAATAATAATAAACACTTTATTGCATGAAGAAAATAAAGCTTGCGAGAAGGTAAAAATATGTGTGCAAGGTATAAGTCACATACGTTTTAAGATTTGTTTTTGTTTCAATCTCTTAAAATTATGTTTAAATTCATTCAGACCACTTAGGAACACATGGAATATATTTCTATATTATTAATATTTTCAGTTAACCTTATGGAAGTTAATAAGAAATAATTGTTAATAATTTTTTTTAATTTTACAAGATAATAATGAGCATGAAAATTTATTGTAGGTATTAATTTTATCAATATTGTTTGTAAATTGTTTTGATTTTTCATTGCTTTAAAAATACAAAATTCCTTTAAATTATTCAATTAAATTAGATTCCGACGTCTAATAAATAAATAAAAATAGACACAAAGATGAACTGACTTCGTAATCACATTTAATTCATTCATGAATTATAAAATTATATAAATGTTTGCATGATGCATATTTTTTTTAACTTAAATTTAAATTTCAACAAAAGTGAAAACATCAGAGGACAGAAAAAAAGGAATATTTAGTAGAGTGAGCTAAATTTTTAACGAAAGTAGCGATATACATTAAAAAAGAGGTAAGTAACCATACGTAAATAATTTATTGATCAGAATTAAATAGAAAGAAATTACAAAATGAAAAAAATAATAAACGTTAAAAAAAGAATGGTACATAAGTACCAAATTCATGAAAGTAAATCAATTTCTGTGGCTGCAAATAAAGATATCCATATAATTCTTTTCTTTCTTTTCAAAGAACTAACAAAAAAACGGAAAATAGCAGATCCGCAAAAGACTCGTGCCTTTTTCAAAGAAAATTATATCTGATCATCATATAAAAGAAATAATCTAAATATGAGACTTATTTTAACATTTAAATGGTTTAATTTTGTTATTTAACTAATTTTAATTATTTATTACGTTTAACAAATAGAATGGCGTTCTCTAAACATTTAATTTCTTTTTTTAAAATTCATCTCCAGATGAATTCTGTATTAAATTGTTTGACGTGATTTAGATTAAAACAAAATTAAAGAAAAATAAATAAATAAACATTAATCTATTCAAAATCTAACGATAAATAAATCGAAATGTTTCAAAAAACAAATTTAAAAACATTTAAGTGTTTAATTTCTTTTTTCCTTTACAGAATCTATCAGGAAATAAATATATTTTTTTAAAAATCCGTTTAGAACAAACCAATGGATAAAACAATTATGCAATGAAAAATTTCTCATGAGATTTAAAACAAAAATAAAAAAATTACCTTGGCAGAACTTTCTAAATCAATAGCTAGGGAAACAAAAACACAATAGAAGTTTTCTTTCTTTTTTGCTTATTTTGCATAAAAAAATAAAATAGCGAATCGTGAGCAGCAAAATACATGCAACGGATAGTACTGCTGGTATAGTATAGCAAAAAGAAAAGTATATGCTTTTAAAAGAAAAAAAAGCGCACTATTCCGTTTCAAAGTATGTTTTTTATTCTGTTAGTACCAGAGAAATGAATTTAGGTTGTTTATTTGCATAGCGAGTAATGGAAAAACAGGAGGGGCGGTATTGAAAATTACACACGTGAATACAGAGGTAAAACATACTATAGAATAAAAAAATGCAAATCTGGCGAAAGCATTCTCTTTATTTTTTTACTTTTTAACATCTAAGAAAGGAAGAAAAAAAGGAATAGTATTGCTCGATTTAAAAGCACAGGCACGATTTTGCCTTTGCTTTTTATTGCCAATCTTTAAACTTTTCGAGTAGTGTAAGAAGGAAAAAAATAAGATAGGAAATACATCTTTTTCTCTTATCTTTGCGTTTTAACAAAAAAGTAATGGTAAAAGAATCCACAAACAGGTGCAGAATGGAGATTGGGATTTCTTCAGGGACTTTTGATTGGGGAAAAGCACGATCTGGTTATGTTTTAAACATGAGATTCTCGGATATTTTCCCTGTGAGAGGGACTAACAAATTTTTTTAGGGAGAAAAAAAAAGAGGTTGGCGGCAATGAGGAATTGCATCTATAATTTTGCTTAGGGCGTATGATTTAGCATTATGTTGGAAGTGTTCATCTTCTTAAGGATCAAGATTCAAACGATATATGTATGTGGCCTAACGCCAATGTAAATATTTATTCAGGGAATGTGGGGAAGTAAAAGATAATATTGGTGCGAAATGAAAGTCTCAAAATTTCGAATTCGAATTGAAAGGGGAATTAAGGGAGGAAAAGGATTTAGATTTTAGAACATATTCATGGCGGCCATTACTATTGTTAAAGTTACTATCGACTTCTGCATTTCATACAGAATTAAAGAGCTACGCCAGGGATCTTTGTTCGGGAACGGTCATTTTGGGCCGTGGTCTTCCATGATGGATGGCCAAAAATAATATATCAATAAAATGATAATTTTATATATAATAAAAAAACTTAATAAAACAGGGAAACGTTGATTTATTTTATCGATTCTAGTTTATTATTGCAAATGACACATATTATACACGCTACTCGATTCTAGGTGATAAACCTTGATTTAACGGAAGAAAAAAATCTCTAAAATCGTTATCAAAATTAAATTCCATGGTTCACAAATTAATATTTAACCAAGGAGAAAAACAAAAAATCTAACGAAACACTAGTGATGAAGATGGAACTGAAAATACCAAAACCAGTTTGATTGCTTGAAAAAAAATTGAAGGTGTTTTATTCACCGCCGTTCAATTCCTCTGTTTTCTTTATCAATCAAAGATGTTTTTATGTTCTTTGACTCAACTTCCTCATTAGTTAGAGCTCTAGAATAGTAATTACGAATAGTAGCCCTACCAGAGTGATAAAAAATGGTGGCCACTTTTTGATAAGTGTACTATAGGGTCAGTGTTGTTGATTTCGTACATTCTTTTGGGGAAAAAGTAGATTTATTTGAAGTATTTTATTTGAATAGATTTATTGAAAAGAAAGGTAAGAAAGACATTAAACTTCAAAGGTTTTGGTAAAAAATAGAATCCAGCAAATTCAATGTGTTAAAATTTATGTACTTTTGCTGATGATTTCGATTTCTAAAAACCTTTATAAACTAAACTCATAAAAAAAAGAAAAGACTTTTAAAGTTGTTTAAAATTGTGGCTTGTGTTTATTTCACAAAAAGCTAAATTCTTTAATTAAGAAGCTCTTAAAGGAAAACTTTACTGCTACGTCCGGACAGTCAATTCCTGTAGCAAATATTTTAATAATTTTGTTTTATTTTATTACTTCCGTAAATGAAATCTATTTAATAAAATAATTAATTCTTATAAGGTAGATAAGTATTATAAGAATAATTATAAGAATATTATAAGAATAATAAAAGGTAGAAAATGTCAAACATTAAAAAAAAAAAAAAAAAATCATTAGAAAATTAACACTGGTATTTAATTAACATAATGAATTAATTGAAATACATAAATTTAAATTTTAATCAAATATTATTTATCCTTCTTCAAATTTATTACAGTTAGAGAAATTTTCGTTACGCTTTTGCGTGAAACACTTTACTCACCAAAATAACACCCCTCTTTTACTTTATTACCTCGCGATGTTCAGAAGGGAAATTATTTCATCCGGCACATTCTCGATTCACTTTCCTGGCAAAAGTTTTGCCCGGGTAAATTTCACTCTATTCCATCGGGTAATGGAATATCTCCGAGAGCTGTCATCAACCCCCGTATCGTTTTAATATTCAGTCACAACTGACTATTGGAATGCGAAAATTGTTCTAAATCACAAACTTCAAACGTAAAGGAAACTTCTGCCACGCGATTTCGGTAATTTGATTTTCCATCTAGATTTTCTCTGCGAATAACTTAGAAAATAATGTTTAGAAAATGCAACTAAAGTTTCAGTTTTAATAAATTATTGCACTAAATAATCCCTTTCCTGTGTTAGTTTGACGTTATGCCCTTATTGTTCCTATGCTTACACATATTATGTATATTTAACTGATACAATTTTCAATCTTAAATTGCATGAAATTGATTATTAATTGTAGAGCTTAGAGCTCCCTATTTTTGTAAGTTAAGCAAAAAACGCATGGCAAATTAACGTTAAAAATTAACGTAATTAAAATTTAACCTTCAAAGGGTTAAGAACAGAAGGGTAATTTTTAAACATTACAGAGAGGGCTGGGGTTCTGGACGTCCTAAACTAGTTTGGGACAGAACACGTGGGTTTCACTGTCCTAAACTGACTGAAACTGTCCTAAACTGTCTTATAGTGTCCAAAACCTTGAACACTGGTAAAAGGTAAAATTCTATATGAGTAACCACTGTACACTTAATAATTACATATATTAATAAATATTTGATTCCACAATTCATTGGAAATCTTATCCTTTAAATATGAATAAATATGCTTTCAATACTGACAAATAATGTTTTTTGCATAAGGATAAATAATGCAATATTTAAAATAATTATAAACTTTTTTAATGAAACAAGATCTTTCCTTCATTTTGTTTCTTATTCAAAAATTAACCTTTTATTTTTCGCAATTTTTTTTTATTTTTAAATTGTGACATAATTTGAGTAAAAGGGTTTTTGCCAGGAATTAATACATTCTGTCCTAAACCTTGCAAGACTCTGATTACAGAAGGTTATTTTTTAAACATTGGTACATTTTTATTGGATTACTGGGGGTGGCTACGAATTATTTACTTGATGGAACACCCTTTTTGTTATTTTTTAGCCTCTGAAGCAATTGCCCAATTATTTTGGCGCAGTTATCGTTACGGAAATCTTCCAGATATTAAGTGTGGATTCGAAACC